TAGCCTCATACTTACATACATAGCTACTCAACTTAGATTTAACATATATATTTGTAACTATACTTATATAATAATATATGTATAAAATTAAAAATCAAAATAAATATAAAAAAAATAATACAAGTAACAAAGTCATAACACCTTTATTATGTTACTAGGTAAAGTTATTTACGTTTATTACAGTTAAAACCATTTATATATAAGTAAAATATCTAGTACGTTCTTATTATCTTTTTTATTGTATATAGGCACATAATATTTTTCACAACAGCAACAATAAATCAAGTTAGATATTTTATACTTCACTTAAACTATACAATTATTTATACATATACCTAACGTGTACTGTGATAATATACATACTAGTCTAATATTCTTTATATAAACTGTAGTTATACATATATTCACCTACTGTCATTATGGGGATTTTTTTTTTTTGGAATATAAACAAAAACGGCGTTATGTTCTTTGTTATTTTTTTCATTCACTTTTTTATTGTACTCTCCCTCTTTCGTTTGTCAGCTAACACAATAAATATGATTTGCTTCAGTGATTCGAAATTTTTTTCGTGAGGGAATTTCTTACATATAATTTTATAATTGGATGTTATAACTCTATTTTTATATTTAATAGCATAAATATTTACTTAATTTCATTTTTACTGAAATAATTTTAACAAAATGACAAAAATATTGAACAATGCTTTATTAATAGTTTTATTCTTAAGGTAGTCTAAATTAAATTTTTGCTAACTTTTGAGTCTAACATTTCAAAATTCGACAATTCTAGGCATCTTAGTATCTTATGTTTTTATAAAACTACTTAACTACTTAACATACATTATAAAATACACAACATTGCTCAGAACTTTTAAATTTTCAAATACAAAATTAAAAAATTTTAATATATTTTAATCGGAAACACTTAAGTGGATGCGGTAAGTGCCCCAGAAGTAATAAAATAATTGTATAAAAAAAAATTATTTACATTATAACAAAATCCTAAAAGCTTATTATTTTATATTGTTTAAGACAATAACGCCAATAAAATTTTCAAATATGAATAGAATGATTTTTAGTCAAGAATCATAACCTTAATAAACTAATTAAGTAATTGAAAATATAACTAATATTACATTTACACATACTTAACAGAATTTTTAAAGTTTATTTCGACATTAGATCTGGAAGGCAAAAAAAATTATGGAAGAAAAAGTCTCACTTTTACTTATAGAGAAAAATTTTGCTCTGCAAAATAAATAATGTGTAATAACATATCCTGTTTAATTCAATAATATTGAATTTAAATAAATTTTCATAAGGATTAGTTACAAATATAAAATATCAAACTGGTTTTTTTTACTTTCTAGTATTATATAATATAAGAGTAACTTTACCCATAATTAATCCAATTATAGAGTTTCCATATAAAGTTTTGCATAAATTTTGCAAAAATTTTTTTATTAATGAAAATTTATAGTGAGTGCTTATAGTAATCACTTCGATCTGTTTGTAATAAAATATGTTGAGGCATAATAGGACTGATCTTAGCACACTGGTAGGCTTTTCCTTTTGAGGAAAATGACCAGGAGGCTTAGGGTTGCTATGACGGATGTATGTCGTGGATGTCGGGATATGGCGGAGGTGGAGGAAGTAGAGCATGTCCTCTGTGCCTGTCAATTTCTGATGTGGAAAAGAAGGCGTGTCTTGGGGGCTTATTTTTACGATGGCTTGTGGACCTTTCCGGGGTGTCTCTTGCGCGGCTTTTGGACTTCGCCAGAGAGGTTGGCTGGTTTGGATAAGGGGTCTTGTGCGTCGGCCTGCATAGGGGTTATTGGGTTATGTGGGTTGCCGATTGGCCTCTTTCTGTTGGCCTAGTGTATGGGCTCTGCGCGGGTATACGGGTGCAGCTCCCCTCTCTTACTTACTTACTTACTTGTAATAAAATAAACCTAATTATTCCTAGTTAATAAAATAAAATAAATTATTTAAATTATCCTATTATTTTCTAGTACACCAATAATGGAACAAATTTTTCTAAATATCATTGAACAATTCCTTTCTGAATTACTTTTTTAATAAATTTTATTCGATACATTAACCAACATGACATGCTTACAGGAAAAAGAAGGGGTTAATTTCTTCTTTTTTTTTATTTAAATCACTTTAAAAATCTTGTTTTTGTTAATATGTGTGTTAAATTTTTATTTAAAATTGGCGAAATTAAATTATGTATTTTTCACTTTTACAATTTTTTGCTGTAACAAAAAAACAAACCAACAAGTAATTTTCAAATTAACTATAAAAATGCATTCATATAAGTAAGTTAAATAATAACGTAATTTAAAATAAATTATAAGTAGACAAAAAAAAAGGAATAGTTAAAATTTAATAAAAAAAAATTTTTTGCGGTTTTGTTCAGCGAATGTGTAATTATTAAACATTTTACATTTTATACGTATACGTAGCATAAAATTGTGTAAATAAAGTAGGCAAAATTGTACTCATATCACCAAGTAAGTAAACTTACGTATATACAAACAATTATTATATAAAATATTTTATTGTCTATTTTAAATATTTTAATATTAAAAAGTGAAAACTAAATAAGAAAATTAGTTTAATGGTAAAATTTCAAATATATACTTATATAAGCGTATTATAAGCAATTTATTAACAAACTAATAATACGAAAAATCATAATGCATTATTATTGTATATAAAATTAAATAAATGAGTTAGTAAAAGTTCAAACTGTATTTTCTAATCAATAGTTTTGAGATTTCAGTGTAAAACCTGAAATTTGAATATTGCATTTGAATAATAACCTATGATAAAAACGCAATGATGTTGTGTTTTATAAAATTCAGTTGTTACTGCTATACATAATATGTAGCTTCAACAAAGCAATCGAATTATTATAAGTAATCAATTAGAGAACTAAAACTATTTAAATAACTGTAAACTACTTCCGACTTCATTTAGTTACGCTTATATTACGTAATTTTGTCACCTAATTTTGTTCAAATTTTATTATATTTTTATATTATTATGTAATATTCATACATACATATATATATATTCATTTGCAACAAAATTTAATTATACTTAGTTTATAAGTAAGTAAATAATATAGTCTACTTATTTACTTACTAATAACTCCCGTTTTGACATTGTCAATGTTATCATGTTTTTTTTTTTTGCTTTCCGTATATTCGAATATATATATATATATATATATATATATATATATATATATATATATATATATATATATATATATATATATATATATATAAGTTTAATTTAATAATATTCTTATTATATACATAAGTATTTAAAACAAAATAATTAATAAACATTTTATTAAAATGCCAATAATAATAGTTACAATAATTCAAAAGCAGATATTTCATTATACATACACGTACTTACATACATATATAGGAAATAATTTGAAATGCATTTCAAACGACTTGTTATTCAATAAAGCATGTTGGAAACAAAAGAAAAAAAAAAAAACATTTTAATAAATACTAATCAGGAATGAATACTTAATATAAAACAAAATATTTGTAAAATTAAAAAGTTTAATACCTTGTAATTACTCAAACTATTATTTTATTATGTGATATAAGTAGCTCATACTAACTTAATGCAACTGAAGCGTTCAATAGGAAATATTAAAAAAAAAATTAAAATTTATTTATTTCAAAGTTTATTATGATAAACTTTAATTTTGCACTGAATCAAATGTACTTATTTCGGTAAAATCAAATGATTACTTATCAAGTTACATTCCATATTCATATTACAAATAAGTACTCTTTAATAAGTATTATATGGATTATGTATTTATTATTAATTAAAATATTGTCATTTAATATTCGTACTTAAGTAATCAAGAAAAAGGAAAGTGAAAGTGTTGACAAATTAAATTAACATGTAGTTTTATAAAATAATTTAGCATTTCCTATATAAAACAATACGTTCCCTTAGAATGTAGAGCCTTATAATTTGAGTTTTAACTTTAGTGTAGGTACCTACTAATGCGCATTTTAATTTAATACTTACTCCATCTAAAGCTATAATTTTAATGCATCATTAAACACTTTGTAAGACTTCAACTTGTTAACAGCAAACTTTTAATTCAATCTCCTTACATTTCAATCAAATTCAAAATTGTAAAAATAAATAATTGACAAACAAATTTTCTGGTTTCCTTAATATTTGTTCTTCCAAATAAGGATTCCGGATATACTTAAATAGATAGGTACGTGTACATACGTTATTCAAAGTATATTTATATGTAATATTACAATTCTATTTCTTTGTTTGGAATAAGCAATTAGCAGTAACTTAAACTGGTATAAATATTTCGAAAACTAATTCTTAGAATAAAAAATCTAATTGACATTGTGGAATTTTTATTTGATACATAAGTATGTATATATTATATACTTGTGAACACATGGATATGTACACATTTTTTTTCTGGAAAATGAAAATAAAATATTTTCATGGTGTAATCCCAATCGTTATAAAGAAGTAGAACTAGCACAATGTTATCCGATATAAACTAGGACTAGGTCGCAGAACTATTACTTAGGTATTTACAATGTTATCATTTAGATATAAAATCTAGGATTTTTTAAAAAAATTATAAACAACAATCTTGATGTGTTTAGAATTTATACCTGTTTGTAATTCATCTCTAGATCTTTAACAACTCCGTAACTTAATAAAAAATTTTGTTTGCCAGATTCAGTTTAGGAGAAAAAAAATCGAAAATATTAGGTTATTTTATAGCCTTATTTATACCAAACATTTTTTTATTAAATTTTCTCACGCAATTGTTTTTATATTTATTTATTATTATTACACATAATATGCAGGTAGGTAGGTAAGTATGTAGGTACATACATACATTATTCCATAAGCTTAAAATATAAAGGTAATATTTTTATTTAAATATATTCAATAAAAAAGCGTAATGCTTACCCTCATTGCCAAAAAGGCTCCATAATTTTGAAAATAATAAACCCATGATTTTTAATTAGTATAAACTTTCTACCTAGTATTAATTATGAACGTAATAAATCCCGCTTTATTGTTGGTATTCTCAATTATATTTTTGAAGTTAGGTTGTATGTAGGTACTGAGTTTTTCTTTGTATACTGTGTTGTTTTTTTTTATATTTGATATTTTCTCGATTTCTTTTTTTTTATTGTAATTTTTTTTAATATTTTTTAAAATATAAAAATTATTAATTTTTTTTTATGCAATGCACGTATTATCTTTTATGAATTCACTTAATTTGTCTCGTAAATTGAAGTATAAAAAATAAATTTGAAATGATAGTAATACAAAAATAGTAAAGAAATCCTTTAATCAAAAACAAAACATGGGGCCATGGGCTTTCTATTTATCTTGTATGTAAATCAATGACAATAAGCTATTATTTTGTAATACAAAAATTTTAAAAATAATTTTTATTTATTTATATTTATTTTTCACTTTCAATTTAGAATTTATAAATTTAAATTAAAAATTTTTTACTTTAGAAAACGAAAACAAATTTCTTTCCTTTATTCACTAAAATTTCTTTCACTTCTTTTTTCACAAATTTTTTAATATGCAAAAAAAAAACTCTTGTATACACAAAAAAATTGAATATTTTGCATTTAATTAGATTTTATGATTAACAAATTTTTTTTCAACGATAAATCTAATTTAATATCTTAAATTTATGTTAATTTTTAGATATAAAAGAATTGTTTTTTTTTTTTATGTACTTAAATATTCGTATTAATTTTTCTTTAGTCGTACACGATTACCTTCGAACATCACTCGTCCATTTTGTTCTGTTATAATAAATAAAACAAAACCTAAAAGAAAAAGTCACTTTAATATTTTGTGTTGTGGAGACTGGAGTGGAGAGTATTGTATTTTGAGTAGTTTTCGTTTTTTTGAGAAGAGAACACCATACAAAAAAAAAATTAGATTAAAATTTTGTATAACAGATATACAAGAAAAAATTCTCCAAACGTAATTTGTTTTGTCAATTAAAATATCATTTTATCTAGTGTTTGCCACTTTGGCGTTGCCATGTATGTATAATTTATATTGTCATTTTTTTTTTTTTTTGAATTGTGAACACAGATTTAAACTAAGACAATAATACTAAAATGAATTTGGCGAATACCAGATTTTAATAATCTATTTAAGGTATTGTTTACATATAAAAAAATTCAAATAAAATAATTGAACCTGCGACAAAATCTGACTATGAAAAAGGCTTATTATGACTTTTTTTAAGATTTCTTGTTTTAGATTTACAAATATAAATAAAATTCTATTAAATGCATATAAAATTCTTGAATTGATGGCATAGCACAACTCTAATATAGTAATTTTAGTAACTAATGTCTCAGTACATGTTAAATAAATTATTCATTGTAATTCAATTATTTATCAAAATTAACTTAAATTATTCCTTAAATTTGTTTTTTAAAAGAAAACCAAGCCGTTTAAACACACCAAATTATATTATATTAATATTATATTACAATTGAATGGTTTTTGATTGGAATTGATTGCGAACATAATCTATTGAAAGATTCTATTTGTATTGTATCCTTCTAAAATCTGACAGCTAATTTGTTTTGATAATAAATTGGATGAAATATTGCAGAGAAAAGATTGATATTTTTGAATATAAAAATATTCAGGTTATAAGGATTCTTAAAATTTTCTTATGAAATTTTCCAAATAGCTATGCGAATATGGTAATTCACATAATTCAAGTTTTAAATAAGTATCATTTTAAATTCGCGTAAATTTAGTCTTGTTTCAGATTTTTTCTATCCAAATATGGGTGGTGTAGAAGAACATATATTCAATTTATCCCAGTGCCTATTAGCAAACGGACACAAGGTAAATAACAATTTAAAATATAACAAAAAAGGAAAATATTAATGTAGTAGTATACGGATTAAGGTTATTGTTATAACACACACGTACAACGATCGAAAAGGCATAAGGTATATGACAAGGGGTTTGAAAGTATATTATTTACCAATAAAGGTATTTTATAATCAGTCAATTCTTCCAACAATTATTTGCAATATTCCATTGCTTCGCCATGTGCTATTGCGAGAACGAATTGAAATAGTGCATGGTCATTCAGCTTTTAGTGTTTTAGCTCATGAAACAATGCAAATTGGTAAACTATTAGGACTAAGAGTAAGTTTGTTTGTTCTTGATTGTTTGATATATTTAATGTTTTTTTTATTATCTTTTAGACTGTATTTACAGATCATAGTTTATTCGGATTTGCCGATTTGTCAGCAGTACTCACAAACAAATTCTTGCAGATATGTCTTTCTACTTGCAATCATTGTATATGTGTTTCGCATATTGGTATACATTTTTATAAACATTTTGTAAAATATATACAAGTGTACTTATACAATGTACTTATTTTAATAGGGAAGGAGAACACAGTCTTAAGAGCTTTTGTCCCCAAAGAAAAAGTTTCGGTGATTCCGAATGCGGTTGACACTGCCCAATTCACCCCAGAGCCATCAAAACGTGTAAACGCAAATGAAACTAGTAAGTGTAAAAGATAGTTATATGTTTAAATCAATTGAAATCTCAATTTAGTAATTCTCTATTACTATATCGATCTAGTTACGATTATAGTTGCATCACGTTTGGTGTATCGAAAAGGAATTGATTTTCTTGCTGATGTTATACCTCGATTTAAAAATAATAGCAATGTTCATTTTTTGATAATTGGCGATGGTCCAAAACGAGACTTACTTGAGGAAACAAGGGAGCGAGCAAATATGCAAAGTTGTGTTGAAATGATTGGTGCTGTTGAGCATTCGAAAATGCGTGATTTGTTAGTTCGTGGTCATATATGTAATAGAATTAATGTATACAGTTGAATTAAAAATTATAATGAACTTTTTTTTTAGTTGTAAATTCATCTTTAACAGAAGCTTACTGCATGGCCATTGTTGAAGCTGCAGCTTGTGGTTTGCAGGTTGTGTCCACAAAAGTCGGTGGAATACCAGAAGTTCTTCCGTCCAGATTGATTATATTAACTGAAGCTGACTCAAACTCAATTTATGAGGGAATTTTGCAAGCTATGGAAAGAATAAAGGAAAATCGAAAAATTTCCAAACCTTCTTATGGGCGTCGAATTTATAAAACTGCAAATTCTGAATGTACTTCCGATAAAAAAGATAAATCGAAGACTGTTCCTATTTCTAATAATGTAAGTAAAGGTGGAAGTAATTCATGTTTAAAACCAGTTGATAAGCACTGCAACAACAGTCTCAAACGAATAAATCAAAAAAACAACTTTCCAATGTCTTACAATAAACCTGCCGTAGAACCATTCACCAATAAAAACGGAAAAATTTTTGTAGAAGACACTGAGCAAAGGGAAATTGATTTTGATTTTCTAATGAAAGAAATCAATAACGTACGAAGCGGAACGTTATGCCCATATATTTGTAATGAAATTGTTACTAACTTATACAATTGGGAAAATGTAACACAGAGAACGGAAAAAGTTTATGAACGGGTATTAAAAGAAAAGGATCCACAATTAGGTGAAAAATTAGCTGCATACCTTAGAAGTGGAGTCTGGCCATTTTTGTTAGTTATAATGCTTTGTCACTGGATACTAAGATTTTTGGAGTGGTTACAACCAACTAGCTCAATTGAAATTGCCTTGGAATATCCAAGAGGCAAAAAAGATAAAAATAATAAGAATTAAATTTTAATTCAAATGCATTTGTTAGTATTATTTGCATTTTATGTAATAATGTTCAATAGCTTTATTCGGTAGTATTTTATAAAAGTAGGAATAGTTAAATTATTTAAAAATTTAATGATGTAAATAAAAATTTTTTTTATTCATTTACGGTATCGTACCTAGGTAATAAAAATGTTTTTTTTAAACTTTAAATTGATGCAAAATCTTAAAGAAATTTACAATTTAGATAATTTAAATTATAAGTTGTTAAATAAATACCATTTGTATTATATGAATTTGTCTTTATAACATTACATAATTTTTTGAAATTTGATTGCTGTCTTGGATAAAAAGTCTGTTAATCAATAAGCTACTAAGCTTGCATTTGAAAACTCCTTGTGTTTGTGTTGGAAAGTAATTTTTTGCTTTCCTTTGAATGATGAAGCTTTTTGGTTTTTATACTAATATTTCATAAGCACTTAATGAAAACGAGCCTTCACTTAATTTAAGAACGACCAAAGATCGGACTAACTTATCGAAAATCTTATGTCAACAATTTATTCTAGTGAAGTATGTTGCTAGAGGAATCAAAAGAAATTCTAACCATAATAAATACACGAAACTGCGAAGTGTCAAATGATGTTTCTCAAGCTTACGGAATCTTTTACGTCAAGCAGAATCAAAACACATTTTCAATTAAACCTTACGTCCAATATAAATCTATTATAATAAGTCCGTATTATATGCATTTCAAGTATAGCCACAAAATCATTGTGGATTGAACATTTGATTTTGAAATAATTAAATGGCAACACTAATTTCATAGATTTTTTATAATACTAAATGTCAAAATTAAACGATGTCAAATGTCGCGTCTATTCATTTTAGAGTTTGATTTCAACTTTCAATTTTAAGATTTCATTTGAATAGATTTGAGTTGAGGGCATTGTAGTTAATTATAAAATAATTAAAATAATAGAAAAATGAATCGTCGAAGAGGCCACGATGATGATGAGGGATATGGTAATAAAATATCTTTTTAATCGTATTTAAATATTAAATTTACATTTCTGTAGAACGTCACAATCGAAAAAGACGTCGTGTCTCTGAAAATCAAGAGATTGAGGATCGTTTGGAATCACTAATTTTGCGTGTGGGTGAAAAAAGTACTTCATCAGTTGAATCAAATTTAGAAGGATTAGTTTCTGTTCTTGAAGCCGATTTAGGAACATTTCGTCTTAAAATCCTACGTATATTATCAGATTGTGCAGTAAAAATGCCGGAGAAATGCACTATTTATACTACTTTAGTGGGTTTGCTAAATGCTAAAAATTTCAAGTTTGGTGGAGAGTTTGTTGATCATATGGTTAAAACTTTCAAAGACAGTTTAAAATCTTGTAAATGGGATGCCGCTCGATATTCTTTACGCTTTTTAGCTGATCTCGTTAATTGTCATGTAATTTCCGCAACATCCTTATTACAACTTCTTGATAATATGATTGAAGTGTCAAATGAAGAAAATGTTCCCCAAGTTCGTCGGGATTGGTATGTGTTTGCTGTTCTTTCTACATTGCCTTGGGTCGGCAGAGATTTGTATGAAAAAAAGGAATCATCTTTGGAAAGTTTACTAGTACGTATTGAAGTATTTTTGAACAAAAGAACAAAGAAACACCATAACGCTTTAAGAGTATGGTCAGTTGATGCACCTCATCCACAAGAGGAATATTTGGATTGCTTATGGGCGCAAATACGTAAATTAAGACAAGATAATTGGGCAGAGAAACATATTCCAAGGCCTTACCTAGCTTTTGATTCCATATTATGCGAAGCTTTGCAACACAGTTTACCAGCTATAGTTCCACCACCGCATCATGAAAGTTATACATATCCGATGCCATGGGTTGTATATAGAATGTTTGATTATACAGATTGCCCGGATGGGCCTAATTTACCAGGCGCTCACTCTATTGAACGTTTTTTAATTGAAGAGCATTTGCATCATATAATTGAAACTCATCATTTAGAGCGAAAAGATTGTGCAGCACATCTTTTAAGTTTTCCTTATAAAAACAAAATACCATTGGAATATTGTATTGTAGAAGTTATATTTGCTGAATTATTTCACATGCCAATACCCCGTTATTTAGAAATTTGTTATGGTTCCATTTTGATAGAATTATGTAAATTACAGCCAGCAACCCTTCCACAAGTGCTAGCACAGGCAACTGAAATTCTTTTTATGCGAATTGATTCAATGAATACATCTTGTTTCGACAGATTTGTTAATTGGTTTTCATATCATTTAAGCAATTTCAAATTTACTTGGTCATGGGATGAGTGGGATAGTTGTTTATTACTAGACCCCGAACATCCCAGACCAAAATTTATTCAAGAAGTTTTGTTAAAATGTTTAAGGTAAACTTTAAATAATATGTGTATAAATTGATATTGTAAAAAAAACTTAATTTGTAGACTATCTTATCATCAGAGAATAGTTGATATGATGCCCGAAGCTTATGCTAAATTAATACCAGTTCCAGCTGTGCCTATTTACAAATATGCAAATGAAGGAGCTGGTAAGAGTTTTACGCCTATACTTAATAATATATTTTTAACATTTACATACATATTTTTATTTACTATAATTTTATAATAATATACATAAATATAGTTTAAAGCTAATTTAAATCAGATTAATTGTTGAAGTATTTACAAAAATAAATAACACGTTAATTTAACTGAACATTTCATTAAAAGTTAGCGTGACTCTGTGTTAAAGGTTTCTAGCATGATTAACAATCGTTTCAGTTAATTCACTTTCTTCTTTGCTACTTTTGTTCAACTTTTCGTTGAGATTTTCTGTTGCTTTAAATAATTTTATTTCATTATTATTTGGTGTAGGTAATTTAACTAAATTTGCTTCAACAATTTCAACATTTGGTATTTTGATTGTAGGCTTGAATGGCTTTTGTAATTTGTCTTTACCTACTTTGTATGTTATAGAAGTGGCTATAGATTTTTTTGTTGCAATATTTTTCAATTTAATGTTTGACATATCTTCTATAGGCTTACTAGGTGTAACTGTGGCCACTTTTTGGTCAACATACACTTTTTCAAATTCATATTTTGCTGGAGTAGATCCATGTTTTCGGGTTTTAGATGTTGGATATTCTCGAGTAATTTTGCCCCGTTTCGCTTTCCACTTTAAAACAGGTCTTTCAGTTGTTGATCTATGAATCTTATGTCTGGGTCGAACAGAGTCTATTTTAACTGTTGAAGTCGCTGTATTTATAACGTCATGTGTTTGTTTTGAAATTTTACCCGAACGTTTTGCGGTAGTTCGCGATCTTATCATTTTGGTAGGTGTAACAGGTAAAAGGGTAGTTTGTTCTGGAGTTGTTAAAGTTTTTTTATTTGACTGTGGCGATTTTGTTACAATTTTTGCTTGTTTCTTACCAAATGTAGAAAGTTGACTGGACATGGATGTTTCAGTTGTTTTTCCTATTTTATCAACATAAGGCACATTAATATCTTGTCCTTTTAATGGAGGAGGTAATTGCGCATTTATTGAATCCGGTTTGATTTTATGAGGAGATTTTTGTAATTCAAAGCTATTTTCAAAATTAAAGTTTTCGCTTTGATTACTTCTTGAAGAACCTTCATCTGCAAAAATAAAATGTTTATTAACAATTTAAAATATTCATTAATTTTGAAATTAATTACGAATGTTAGAAAAACTTCCAGGACGATAAAGTGAATCAGTACTTGAAAATAGGTCTTCATTACTTTTTTTATAGTCATCTTTATCGTACAAATTTTTGAAACTTAAGCCTCTTGTAGGATTGTATAATGCTGGTGGAGGTGGCGTACCTGGATATGTTGTGTCTAAGCTGTAATGGGTTGGAGATTGTGATGGCGGAATTGGAATTTGATTTGAGATTGTTGGTGATGTTCGGTAACCATAATTGAACGGTTCAGCAGGTTGATTTAGAGGTCGTTCTATCAAACGAATTGTGCTTTGAGTATTCGGTATATATGGTTGTGGTGACGCTATTTCTGATGAAAAATATTCTTTTCTAGGAATATTTTTATTGGCAAAATTTGAATCATAATAGCGGTGATTAGAATGTCTGTTGATTGAAGTTTTTAATGAATCAAAAGATTGCTGCGGATGAACTTTAATTTTTCCATTAGTAAATCCGTCATATTCTACTGGTATTGAAGTAATTAAAGGACGGCGACTTATACCACTATTTTCGTAGTGATACGTGTATGGAAAATTATTAGCTACTGAAAATTTTTGATCAAATGTAGGACGATATGTTGTGGTACCTAGTGATTTAAATGTCCCAATTTGACCTTGAAATCCATTATTATCTTTTGTTGAATGTGTTGTTCTTGTTGGAATAAAGTATTCTCCAATGTTTAATTTTGAAAAATCATGTTCCGTTGCAATTTTATTTGTTGAAAAATACCTCGCCTGTGTAAAAACATCATTGAATGCATTCAATTTATCGAGATATGCAGCTCTAGTGGCACTGTTATGTCTTTTAATCAGGTGATCATCTAAGAAACTAAAACTGCTGGGGTAGTCATTATCTTTCAAAATAAATGACCGCAAAATTCTTGGTGTTCTCTGACTTCGTTTAACATAATTATTCTTTTCAATTTCATATCTTTCGTATTTAACTTCTGAATTTCTACTTTCACTTTGTGAACTGTCTATTTTGGAATCTAATTCTCTATCGTCTTCATTATATTCGTTATTATTATCTTTCGTGTTAATTGTCAAACGGATTTCATAGCGAAATTTTTTGTTAGAATCCCTTTGGCGAATTTTTTCTACTTGCCAAAAAGCTAGAGTATGTTTTGGATCACATTTTTCATTACATAATCCTTCGATAAATTTAATATTTGAATTAGTAAAATCAGATTCTAATCTTCCTTTCGCTAATGTTATAATATCTCCAAATTTTGGTATATATAGGTCATTTTGTATATAAGTAGCATTCATAAATTTCTTATATTCAGGTAGATCGCTGAATAAAATAATTTTATGATATTAGATAATTTTTTATTAGTTAATTAAACACTCACCTTAAATCAGTTGCATCATTTAAGTGATTATTAAGGGTCAAAAATGTCACATGTTTTAAAGCTTGTTCCCAAGGTATGTTCTCATTTAATTCACAAGTAATATTTTTGATTGGTTTAAAGTATAGAATTTTCCCATTAACTTGAAGTGAATGTTGCGGTGTAAGCAATATTTCTCTTTCAATTTCAGTTTTACATAAATTTACCTTAAAAAGTATAGCAATGGTATGGTTATTAATGGTTGAATCAAAGTTTTAAAAATATTTTTGTATTCTATTTTTATTTTTCATGTAAATTTGTGCATGGAAAAATTAATCTAGCTTCAATTTAGTGCACGTTAAAATGTTCTTGATGAATGAAAGTAAATGTTTGATTTTAACTAATGTCACTAGCAAAACAACTCAAATAAAACATTGCAAAAACTGTAATGTGAACGTAAAGAACACAAATGCAACCGATTCTATGTTTGTCCTTTTAGTTTCATTGGAATTCCGATTCAAATTATTGAGTTATAACGATCATAATTTCTTATCGAGATACAGGAAAATTTCTTAGAGAACTACCGAGTATAATATTATGGCTTATGATAGTTATTTTAAACTGATATATTTGAATAAGTTGTATAAAAAGAAAACTCCCTTTTATTCGGAATAAGATACTTTTTATATTTGCTGATCAAAGCTGATTTTCTTCTCAGAAGTATAATAGAAGTAGAATAAAAAGTATTTTATTCCGAATAAAAAGGAGTTTTCTTTTCATACACCTAAAAAAAAAAATTATATTTCGGAAAAATGATCATTCATTGAAGAATTTGAATAAGTTGTTTTAAAATTCACTCATTCTCTCGATATAGATTTCAGTCAGATGCCAAATAAAATTTTAGAAGAAACAGGTAAAGACAACTTGAGGATTTTGTAGGCGTCTTAAGTACATAAGATACTTAATTCAATATTTTATTTACAATTAAAAAAATTATTACTCTGTTTTGTTATATAACAATTACTCGTAATTTAAAAATATTTTTAAATTTAAATATTTTTAAAAACAACTTGTAGTTTCGATTTTTTACTAATTTCATTTGTTTTCAGTTGCTATTTTTATGTATGGAATAGTAATCTATTGAATAAACCGATTATTTACATGATATAAATCAGATATTTGTTAGAATTGCTAATAGGGAAAAGTCTTGGCTCTCTAGACCAATAGATAATACTAATAAAAGACTAGGAATATAGGTGGTAGCACTAAGTGTAATAATTTTTGTTTAGATTATTTTAAATTATTTTATACTTTTTCTCATTATTTCATAATTTATTATCTTATTATTACATGTTTTTATTATTTTATTATTAAACATTTCTTATACTATTATTTAAATTTTAAACTGGTTATTATTATTTAAGTTTAGTTTTTTTCATATTTAAATGTAAATCAAGTCATAAAAGAAAATAATTAATTCAGATTTCATAATTAATTTGAAATGATTTAGGTAAATAGAAAATTATTATTTTAATTGTATGACTACCAAGTACTGAGCGAAGTATAAAAATGTTGGTTGAAAATATTAATAAAAAAATAGTAATTTTCAAATTACTTGATAGAATCATGGAAACATTGTTTTGTGTAGGGGGGGGGGGGGGGGGGGATGTAGATCAAAAATAATATTAAATATGCACTTTTTTCTTTTTTTAAAAAAATTTTGTTAGATTTTTGCATATAGTAGAAATTCTTTAAAAGTTATTAAAATATTATTATTAGTTATTCTTCAATCTATTTATATTTCCAATTTTTCTTATAAAAATAGTATTTTTTCAATTTTTATTCGACATTAAAGTAAATTACTCAAAAAATATTTATAAAGCTCACATTATAATGCAGTTATTGTAATTGTTTTACTTTGCAAATACAAAATATTGATAATAAATTGCAATTTAGAAATTAAGATTCAAATTTATAGTTTATGTAATGCTCAAATAATGCAAATAATAAGCAAATTAAAATAAAATTAATTTGCATTACGAGTATCTATTTTGCTTCCTCAATAATATAAAATAAATAATTTTGGACCATATGAAATTTGCAAAAAAAAATAATGATATTTTTCCCCAATTAGAAAAAATTTAAAATTATTATGTGCTATATTTTGCTATTATAAGTATTTCTTATTCAGTCATTTAATCAATGGAAAATATTAAAAATAATTACAGCAGTTATTATTATTAATCCTTTAAAGTATATTCCATATTTGTAATCCATATTTTAATTTACAGTTCCTCATAACCGTTTAAAATTTACAATACGCGTTTAAAATTTTTTTTTTTTTACCGTTCGATACCGTATTCTTTACTATTTTTTTTTTCTATTATTACTATACAACTACCGTTTTCTTTAAAATCTAAATAATAACTACTCTTTAAAGACCAAAAACAGAAGTCTTAATAGTTAAGAGAAAACAATGAAAAAAGATAAAATTAATTAAAATTTTATTCATTGGTGAATTTTCCTACCTAAATTTTTAAGTTATTCAGATTTTTTTTTTGCCACCCTCAATTCAACTGCATCATCAACAATATGTATTTTGTCTCAGTGTATAAAAAATATATATTTTTTTGTTTGGTTTTTTTGTAGAGTAACTATTGTAATAAAAGTGTCTGAAAAATTGCATTATTGCTATGATTTTAATATTTGTTTATGCATTTGTTATAAGTAAAAACGTTCAGGTTCGGTAAAGTTCAAGAATGAAATCGAAACTTATTTTTTTTTTATTTTTCTTGAATTTTACATTTCTATTATTTTTTGTTTTATATTTGTAATTTACACTTTAAAATAAATATGTGTTTAGTGGTACTGTTAGACTGTGTATTACTAGCAATAATTTTAATTATTAATACACAGACTAACAGTAATTAGCCTAATTTAATTACTAACAGTAGCAACACAATATTTTATTTATTAATATTAACAATTTTTTTTATGATTACAAACTCTGATTTGCATTTATTAATCTATTTTTTTTTTTTTTTTTTAACTATAACAGATAAGAAGAAGAGTTTAATTTTTGCTGCCTTAACCATTAATGCTTATTTAACCATATTTTGTTCATAAATTTATACATAGACTCAAAAGTACTGTAAGAATACATGCTCTTTTATTATTACTAACTTTTAGAATATATATGCAACAATCAATTTATTCCAAAATATATGTACTAAGACTCAGAATTTATTTTTTAATATTAAAAAAAAACAAATTTTAAAATAAAATTTTTAATCTTGAATTGAGAAAATTTTAAAGTTTCTTATTCAATAATATTATAGTTCCCTGGAACACAAGGTACTAAAATATTGTCCGCAACGTATAAAATATTTAACCGGTTAGAATTTGACTAGGCAACCGGTTATTCAAAAATAATTTTTGAACAATTCGTTAAATTATTGTGTCGATACTAATTTTAATCATAAAATTTTCAATTCTTTCAACTCTACTGCAACTCTTTTCAGTTTAATTTTATTTTGCTAATTATCAATCATTTCTTATTATTTTTTATTATTATATTGTAGCAAAAAACGCAAATATATATAGAGTTGACAAGAAATTATAGTATTTTTTTTTTCAAATAAATATTGAGTTATTATTATATTTATATCTGGGACCCATCGGACTACAAACTTTTTAATTTTTTCTTTTAATCCAAATTTTGTAATGAATCAAAACATTTTTGAACTATGCTAATACATAAAATAAAGTGATTATTTTGAAAAATTTAAAAGTAAAAACAAAAATAAAATTAAAAAACTGTTTTTAATTCACAATAGGGCCCTGACCGTGTTTGTATTTTTGATAAAACTAATTTTAAAGTTCAAGAAAAATTTTTAATAACTCTAGTCTGCAAATTTTAGTCTATGACCTAATAAAGTCACCGACATTTAAACTCGCATATTAAAATATAAATTTTCATTTAGAAATGAAGAAACACAATATGAATTCTTAAATAATTAATTATATATGTATGTACATAAATGATGTGAAATAAAATTTTAATTTGATTTTCATTGAAATATTTTTACATAAAATATTTTTAAATAATTTGTAACTTAACAAATCAGTCATATTTTATTGAAGTTAATGAAATTTTTATATCTTTTCAAAATTTTAATATTTAATAAGAAAAAAATAATCTTTATAAAATAATATTTATAAAAGTATTTTTAACAATTTAACAATAAGAAAAATGACATTTCCTTTTAAAAACAAAAAGAAATAATTTATTTTTCTCTATTCTACTTTAACTACCATTGAAGATTTTTGCACATGAGTTAAAAAAAAATAAATATTTTTCCACCTATTGTTATTTTTATTTAATATTTTTATAATAAATACGATTATAATTTTATGTTTTTAATGTTTAATGTTGGCGCTATTAATGTGTTATTCGTGGAGTATTTGTTCGTTGTTAGCATAGTGCAATTAAAAAATTTTCATACTTAAATATATACAAGAAAAGTTGAAGGTTAAAAAATTCTTAATAGTAACAAATAAAATTATATATATCTATAAAATCATATATATTTATATATATATATGAAAAATAAGGTCACTAGTTTAAAGAAGTAGCTAACATTATATGAAATTAAATGAATAACAGAACTAACTGTCTGTAACCAAAAAAAAAAAACAAAAAATTAATTCTATTCTAGATGAGTAATTTACATACATAGATAAAAGTTTAATGGTTGTTATTAATGATTTTTTATAACAAAATATAATTTTAATTATTATGAGAAAATAAGTTTTAAATTAAAGTATATAACATACATTACAATAGTATACAAGTAAATTTAAGAAATACAATAGTATTTACACATTGTTAGCTGTTTTACAAGTGCACCAAAATTTTTTTTGTTCTCCAGACTGTTGTATCAAATTTGGCCTTATAGGAATTCTGACTATTTTTTATTCTTTCGTTCGAATTTCAAACCGAATTTAAGAATTTCGTTAAAATTAAAAATTTAAGAACAAGCTACCAAGTTATAATTTTTTTCCAAAGTATTCCGAAATAGTAAAATTTACAAAAACAATCTAAAATTTTCTGTTGTGACGCTGCTCATAATTTTTGCAATTGTTATTTATTCTATATTGCAATATAGATAATGTGACTATAAAATAATTATTATTCTATATTGCAATTAATCCGCTATATACAGAAATTTACCAATTAGTCATAAATTCGTATTTTATATTAATTATTATTAATTTGGAAAAGTTATTCGACAATCTATTTTTCATAAACACACGTAATTTCTGTTAAATTAAAATACAAATCTTGGATTTATTCTCTTTTTTAAATAATAAATATAGGAAATAAAATTTAAAATAAACTTTTGAATTTAATTTCTTATTTTATTTAGTAATTAATTAAATTAAAAAAAAAATATATTCTTAAGGTTAATTATAGGAAACTGTCGGCATAATATTACCACTACATTATTTTAGAACAGATTTACATTTTCATGTAAATTATTTTTGTGTATCTGTTATAATAATAATTCTGTACATATCTCGAATGTACTGTGTGAATATGTATAAGAAAATTACAATTTAACAAAATAATGGTCAAAACTCACAACTCCATTGTATATAAAGGTGTTAATTGAATTCCGGAAGTGTTAATAGATTTTAATATAAATTTTACACACACAAATATTTTGCATTTTAATTTTATGGTGCTCAAGGTACAAAAATTCTTGTTAAAAATTAAGATATTTCTGTGCTAGAGAATAAATTATATTCGAATATATTAAAATTATTCTTTTAATATTCTCATAATTTAATAGAAAATTTTTATACATTTGTTATATAAAGAATGCGTTAATAAAGTATTCGTATAATATGTAAAATTATGTAAAAAATTTTTATTGATTGTAAAATTTTGAAAATTTAATTTTAAATCAAAAAAATTTATTGTGTTTGTAACGAGAAAAGGTGTGCAATATAAATATAATCATAACAAAATATTTTACTATTGTTGCATATTGCCATAAGATTTACAAAGTTTGACCCAAAAAATTGTTAAATTTTCTTTATATTAACGTTAATATTAATATAAATATGTCAACATGTTTTTGGACATGAACTCTGTACGTGAATACTACAGCATTCGTTTTAGTATTTACATAGTTCTACTACTTTTTGTATAAAGTACATTTTTTTCTTACCCGAAAATTATATATTATAAGTGCCCGTTAATGTGTTAATTACATAAAAATTTGGGTTGATCAATATAAAATAACGTATGATTAAAATTAAATTAAAATGATTAAATATCAATTTTCCTGTAACTAAACGGGCTTCGGCTCATATCAACAGAAGGTTTGAAACTATATGAAATTACGTTTTGTATTGTTAAATAGCCTTTTTGTCTTGTTAAATAGCCTTTTGTATCAGGCTTACCCTGAATATCTAAAAGTACTGTTATCCTTAACGCAACCATATTTATAGCGTATTTTCAAAAAAGTCGTCCAAAAAATTTTTGTCATTCAGAGTCCTAACCTCTTAAATCAGTTATGATAGAGAACTATTGTTGAATAATTTACAAACGAAGACTTACACCTTGGTATAATGTCAGTGCACTAGAATAAAGAACTGTCTGTAAAATTTATTAAAATGTCAGATAAGGATAAAAATTTCAATTAAAAATTAATTACATTTATATATATATTTTTATCTATTCTATACAGTTTCTAAAAATTCATTAGATTTTTGAACCAGTATTCGTATTATAACAGCAACATACTGGTAATCATAATCATAAACACGCACATCTAGTTATTAAATTTATTGTTATAAATTTATGCTTTTTATGCAATCAAATTGTTGCATCAGGAATTGCAAAGTTTTTTTTTTCCTTTTTGTTTCTTTTTACAAAAATGCAGAAATAAACGCTTAACCGCACAGCACATAATATGAACTGCTTTACATTTTCTCCAAAAACAATATTCGATACAATACTTTGCTAATGATAATAAGTGAAAATATGTAGGTCTATATACTTATATGATATAATTGTGAATTGAAAAAATAATTAAAATTTATGCAGCATTTTTGCATTAGCACGATATTTTTATAAACATAAAAATTAAGTAAATAAGTGATTAATATCTTGATATGGCAAATGGTCTGGAGTAAACATTGAAAGGGATTATAGAAATTTATAAATACAATGCAATTTTATATTAGAAGAGGATCTTTTAAACATCAGCAATATTCAATAAAATCAAATTTTTCAAAATTTTTTATTAGAAATTCTTAAAATTATATAAATTAAATAAGGGCCAAATATTAAAGTCAACTTTTCCAGAAGAAAACTTCATATGAATTCAATAGAAAAACCGCATTTGACTCTATTTTATGCCTAATAATATTGTATAAGGAATTTTTTTTTAATATCATTGATGTAGAACAATACAAGAAAAATAAATTATTTATAAATTATCAAATTTAATTTTTTTTTTTTTTAAATTTAAATTTTTAATATTTTAACAATTTTCTTTTTTTATTTGCAGCTTCCCTGCCAGGTACCGCAACAGCTCATCAACTTGTTGTCGCAATACGTCAAAAATGTACTGCAGAAGAAGTATTAAATGTATTAAATGATTTACCAAATTCAGGAGATAATACTGACAGTGAAATGTCTGAATATAATCCATTAAAAATTGATGTATTCGTTCAAACATTATTAAACCTTGGATCAAAATCATTTTCACATAGTTTTGCTGCTATATCAAAATTTCATTATGTATTCAAAGTAAGTTGAGAACAAAATAATATAGAAATGTTATTGTTATTATATTTTTTAATTGTTTCACTTTTACTTTTTATACACATTTTTATATTTTTAATCTATTTCAAGTAATCAAAAGTCTATTATTATTTTTCTCTCAACACTATTAATTATTTTTTATATTCCGTTTTTTATTCAGACTCACTTTTATTTATTTTAAATGCGAAGTCATATTAAATAAAATTTGTTATTTATCATTTATGTTAAGTTGATGAAGTTGAAAATGTTCTTTTTAATACCATAATATTACTTACTTAATAAATATTTTGCTTCAAATTATTATGAATGAGCATTTCGATATTCAATCATATGTAATGTTTATGTACTAAATTGTATAATATTAATCTAAAAGATCGTATGTGAACAGCACAAATCGATTGCAATTTTCTGCATCATATTTCGAAATTTTAATATTAAAATGTATTCTAACCTCAAAAAACTTAATTTTAGTTCTAGTAGAATGACAATTTTTGTAGTCCAATTTGGAAATATTTATATTTTCTATTAGTAGCATTGACCTATAGAACACAAATATTAATTTTCAAAAAATTCGGAATTCAGACAGTAAAACTTTTTTTATGACAATCGATTTACCCGATATAATGAACAGACCATCCCAGATATTAAGCTACAAATATTTGTTTTATACTTCTCCAAGACCAACATTTAAAATTCAACACGATCACAACAACTTTCTTATTATTATATGTAATTAAAATTTTAATCTGGTTAAAAAACGCTAATACGAAAACCGAAAATTTTATCATTGTAATTAATTGGCGAAGTGATATACATAGGTACATAGTTTTTCTCTTTTACATTTTTTTTTCTTTTTTATAACAAATTATTGTTTTAATATCTTGAATTCTCAGATTAAAATCTGTAAAAGAATTAAAAATGCCTTTATTATCATAAAAATTTAATTTGTCTTAAGTAAATAAAAAATTTGTACTTATTGTGTATGAATGTAGGTGGTGGGTTTTCAGTTAAAAGTAACTTTTCATATACAATTTCACATTTACAACTGAAATCTAGCCGAAATTTGACATTGAAGAAAATTTATAATGTTCATGCATTTTAAATTAACAAAAAAAAAACAAATTTAATAAAAAGAAAATTATTTTTATGTTTTGTTTTCTTTAACACCGTCTGTCCTCAAACACGTTTTTAAGAGTTTCTTTGAAATTATAAAATTATTATTTTACTATTATTATTATACATACAATACACACATATATGTAATTATACACATTATAGATAGAAATACTTACTGTTTAAAAACTATAATAATTTTTTTTTTTATTTTTAATTCGATATTTAAGGTTTTAGCTGAATCAGAAGAAGCTCAAATATGTGTTTTACATAATGTTTTTGAACTTTGGCGTAATCATCAACAGATGATGGTAGTAATAATTGATAAATTACTTAAAATACAAATTGTTGGTTGTTCTGCTGTTGCAACATGGATATTCTCAAAAGAAATGAGTGGTGAATTTACAAAAATGTATCTATGGGAAATATTACATTTAACTATAAAAAAAATGAATAAACATGTAATAAAATTAAGTAAGTATATAATGTAAATGTAAGATTTTTAATAGAAAATATGGTCGGCTAAAAGGCAGAAAGCACTAAGTGCATTTTTTGAGAATTCGGATTTCATAGATGAATTAAATCAGAATAATATAATCTTTGTTGTGGCAAAAAAAATCATGCAAATCCAGAATATAATTTATAAATCCAGAAATTAAAGAGACCAATACCATTGCACTAATTGATTAGTTTTACAATTTTACGATTTTTTCAAATTGAATTTACTCAAAACACAGTTTCCTGACTTAATGCTTTCTGCTTCTTAACCGACGATATGCTTAAGATGAATTACTGATAAATAAATAAAAATATATGAGATGAAGAAGATATTCAAAAGATATTTCAAAATGGTGAGATTTTATTAAAAAGTTAATTAATATTATAGAATTAGTATGGGAATTAGTATTATATAAGATTCCTTTTTAAGGAAAAATTTAAAGAAAAATATTCTTGCTCTAACAATTTATATACTTGTAGAAATATGTAAGATTTTGTTCTTTTAAATTTTGACGCTATTTTTATTGTATTATAAAATAATAATATTGATATTTAAAATATCACATCTACATGTAAATGTTTCATAAATTTATAAAGCTTAACTGATTGACAAAATTCATGGTTTTATTAAATTTTCAAATAAAATTATCCAAATTTGATGCAAATTTTTATGATTGCAGAAAAAAAAATTCAATCTTTTTTTAAGCATAGATATTAATTTTCTGGGTCAAATTTTTTTTATTTCTCAAAAATATGATATTGTATGTATGTTTTGATTTTAGTATTATTCCGGTCAGCTTACTAAAGAAATACTTGAAAAACATAAAATAATTTATTTTTGACAATAATATTTTGTATATTTTTTAATTAAAAAAAATTTTTTTTTAACAACATACATAGCTAATTATGAAATATTACATTTTAATTTACATATGTATGTATGTACATATACATAATCTATGTATATCAAATATATATTTATATTCATATATACATACACAATCAAATCAATTTAATTAAAAATTACAAAAAATTAACAAATTCTCATAACTAAATTAATCGCTCTAATATTTCTTATTACATTTATTATTATTATTATTATAGGTACAGAATTAACTGATGCCAAGGAAAAACTATCAAGAGCGGATTCATCCTCCAGTGATTCTGAAGAAGAGAGTAATGCAAATAAAAGAAAAAAAATTACTGATAATGCTGACAAACCAACCGAGGAGGTATGTAATATGTAGAAGAAATATTTTAAATTCTTTTTACAAAATGTATACATAGATGTATACATAATCCAAAATGAAATTAAAAGACGCAATAACATAATCTTAAAAATAGTATGTAAAGTTTATCATTGATAAAATGTAGGAAAAAAAAAATAATGAATTCAAATAGATAAGATATTTAAGAGAAAAAATGAATATTATATGCCCAACTATATCAGCCTATGTCTACTATTACAGGATGTTTTTTTACTATATTTAATAAATGAACTTTACCAGACTACTTGTGAAATAATTTCTTTTTTTGCAATAGTTATGTTTATGAAAATGTTAATTGAGTTACGCTATCTGATTCGTAGATTGCTAAATTGGGTTAACTTTGTTGGTTTAATTTATTTAGTAGTAGCGGAATTTTTTGATTTTTTCATTAAAACCCAACTCGTCCTGCAACATTATTGCAAATTCCTTAGAATATGATAAATCACATTTAATTAAAGTCGACACCCTCAAAAAATAATTATACTTCAAAGAAATTATATTAACATAGAATATTTTAAGATTTATGTTAGGATAAATAACCCTGTTTAATTTTTACTTTTATGATAAAATTTGTAAGTAACAAAACTAAAAAAAAAAAATTTGTTTTTGAATTAAAGATTTTGCATTTTTATATCACGTACAAGTATAAGCCCTTCATAATTATGTTAATGACTATAAACAAACTTTATTTAAAAATAAATTATAAATTTGCTCTTTCGTTTGTAATCAAAACTGTTAATGCAATATTTGCGGTAATTATATATTTTATATCGTAGCATTTACCAAATATTTACACTGATATTTGATTGTCTCTTCAAGAAATATTTCAAGAAAAAAATCAAATGGTCAAATCAATTATAGTGATTTTATTAAAACATAAGAAAATTTAAAAATTTCAAGAATACTTACGAATATCTTAGAATAAGTCAAAATAATTTTTTTTACATAATAGTTTTTATGAGCCTGTTAGATTTTTGCTATATAAAAATTATGTTATGGATGCTGTATACAAAATCGGAATGATTTTTTCTTCACTTTCAAAAAAAAAAAGAAAAACTGCGTATTTAACGCAGCGTAAGTACAATTATAATCCAAATAATCACTGAAAAGGAAAATAGCTATGTATAATTTTTTTCATTTTTGGAATTTTAAATGGTTTGTTTTTTTTTGTAAAATTTGCTATATTTTTAAAAATTTTTTTATTTGCTTTGTAAAATGGGCATCATTTTTTCCATAAACTTTATAATTTCATAAAGAATAGGAAAATATAAATTGTTTTATTGCGTTTTGGAGTTATTGGTTGGATGAATCAATATTTGTGCCTTATTTAGTCGTATTTTGTCGAATTTGGATCTTGTTTTGGGGAAACCCGAAATATCATCTATTCGTACGTGTAGATTGAATTCATAAATTTCATTTATTCGTAGGGATCACAAGGCGTTTACACTAATTCAAAAACTCATTATTTATTTTCACCATTACAATAAGATGGAACTAGCGAAATTTAATTATTTTAATGTACAAATAATTCGCTTTATTTTCATTAATTTCAAAGGAAATGTTCGTTTAATTTAAAAAATTAAATGTGTTTATGAAAAAATGAATTTGTAACTTTAATCCAAATATGTACTAATAATTGATAAATTTCAAAATTATTTATCTATATGAACCATCAAATTCATAAAATGAATCCGAAACTTTTAATTTTTGTACAGGAAATTAAATGTTCCATACACTCATGCCAGTACATACATTATTCGTTTTTTTAAATGAATGCACAAACAAATATGAAGAAGTATCGAATCGAGAGCCAAAAACTGAATTCTGCAGTATATCTTGGTTTATTGCATTTTTTAGCAAATTTTAAATAATCAAATCCTCAAAAGATTTTATATATTTGAAATGCCTATGTAATCTACGTCATATGAATGCTTCCTTAACAGTAATTCAGATGATTATATAAAATTATATCGATAAAGAATTTACTTTATGAGTTCACAAATACTTCCTCCGCGTTTAAAAGAAAAGCAAAAAAAAAATATATTATTTGAATAATTTGGAAGTAAAGAAAAAAATTTTTAATTAACAGATGGTTGAGCGTATGGAAGAAAAATTGGAAGCTGCAAATGTCGACCAAAAACGTCTTTTTCTTATTGTTTTTCAAAGATTCATAATGATTTTATCAGAACATTTAGTTAGATGTGACACTGATGGTCGAGATTATGATACTGATTGGTATAGATGGACAATTGGAAGATTACAGCAAGTGTTTTTAATGGTAAAATTTTTTCAAACTAATTTTTATTGCATAATATATTTAACCTATTTTTTCAAATTTTTCAGCATCATGAACAAGTTCAAAAATACAGTAGTACTCTCGAAAGTTTATTGTTCACATCAGATTTAGACTCTCATATATTGGACGTATTTCAACAATTTGTTGCTCTTAGGGCTTAAGTTTTTAATAAGATTTTGTACTATTAATTTTATTTTATTAAAAAGATAAATTAAAGTCACCATATTATATTTTTCTTAAAATAAATTAAGATGTACAATAATTATGGAACCATTCAAAAAAAAAATATAATATAGAAATAACCAGATGAAAACAGAAAGTGTTTGGCGAAATTAATTGATCGTATCATGAAATTTATCCATTCTTAAAAAAAAGATTTTTACCTTACATGAACCTATGACCGGATCGGAAAAGACTTTGTACGAATATTAAAAAATAAAATTATTATAAACATTGAAAGCTTAAGGTTGTTTATAAGGATTTGCTTGTTTGTTTCATGTAAATAGATCGAATGTTGTTTTAAGACTTATAGCAATAATTTTTTAAATAAACATAAAAAACATAAAATAATTTGAAACTTTTTTATTCTTATAAGTTATAAATCAATTTGGAAACAAGCTATTATTTTTTAATTTTATTTCATATTATATTCTTAAAAATCAAGCGTGAAGCACTTTATTTTCCTATTCGAAATAGAATTATGAATTATGTACATAAATATGTAATTGAACTTAATAGTTCTTATCTGATTCTTTATAGAAATGAAACAAATTGAGAAATGCGACATTTTTATATCCAGGTTGAGTAAGAATTACTTTAAAAATCTTATCAGAGCATTAAAATTGTTTCCTAATTTTTAAATTCTAGCTTGTTAACTCATATACATACCTAACAATTGGGACAAACGAAAATAATAATCAATCCCTACTTAAAAAAAACAACAATTTTTTAAAATTATTTCCATATATAATCTACAATACAGCAACATAGTTTACATAGGAAAATATTGTAATGTTAAATTTTCCCAAAACTTGGCTTGGATGTTGGTGTTAAGAATTACTAAAACGTGTATCTTTTGCATTTTATTTAATTATATATCCTACAAAATTAATTTAAATACATAAATATTTATGTCGCGAACTTATTAGAACAAAATTTTCTTTTGCTTAACTAAGGGAAAATTTAATTGTTTTAATATTTTACATTTATTTAATTAGTTTTTATATCTAAATTTCGAGAAAAAGCTCATTGTATTTGTTAAATTCATTCCATTTTCATATCAAATTTATTTAGTATACTTTCCATAAAATTTGTTTAAAATTATTTAAAATAATTTCCAATAATGTGAAACCTTATCGTTTCTTGGTAAAGAAATTGATTGAGGTCTCTCAAATGATAGCGCACATTGTTTCCACTTTCTGGATATTTCTTGATCAAACACCTAAAAAACAATTAACTAATAAGTTGAAAAATAATACAAGAAAAAAAAAATATAACTGACATCATCTTCTTTCAAATCTAGAACGTTGGATAAGTCCCACTCTTGAGATGGCAATGGTTGAGATATAAATTTTGCTGCAGTAGATATAGAAGGCATTATATGACTTTGGAGTGCAACAATTTCCCATAGCGAGCTTTCTAAAGCATTTGATTTTGTCGGATCTCTTTCATCCATAATATATGGGTCCTGAGATACTGAAAATAAATTAACAAATATGAAAAATTTTTAATAAAAAATTTTTAAATGTTATAATATTTAAACCTTCTCCACCAACTGGGTGACATATTAATCTTTTTAAGCCCGGATGACGTAATATTAAGTTTCCAATAAAATATAATATTATTTCAACATCTTGTGGTGGCGCTAGCAAACTCAATCGAGCTAAGCGCTTTACAAAAGCTGCAACTAAATTTTCTGGCAAATGTGTGGAACTAAGAAATATATCAGCCAAGTAAAATAATCTTGCTTTATATTTAGTGTGGAATATTTCTGGTTCAAACATTGAATATAATTTTTCATAAATATTTGGATAGGTGATATTGTGTTTTTGAATCAATGTAAAAATGCCTTGCAATGCTAATAAACCAATAGCTCCTCCTATAAATTACAAATATTAGTTTGTTGCTAAAAGCGAAAAATTTAATTTTTTGCAAAATAAGTTTTACCTAAATCTAAAGAATCCATTAAAAAATCTGTTAATAATACTGGCTTGTCAAGGTGAGGTAGCACTCTCTCTAATAACACTATTAATATTTGTTTATGTGTAGCTGGTTTGATTTCCCACTGCATTACGCATTGCCAAGCTTTGTTAATGCATTTCCGTGATATAACGTAATCAAAAATTTCTGGTCTTGCTTCGTTAGATGGGCATAGTAGTTTAAATGATTCTTGCAATTCTTTTGTTACTGGTAAAGCATTTATTAATTCTAGATAATTGTTCACAAAAGCTTCGCTTGGTGCATTTCCTTTAGGAGTCAAGCTTGGTAATACTTTCCATGCATAAAAAACGACATCTAAATATTCGGAATATTCTTTAAAACGTGCAATTAAATGATATGAAGATGCTTCCGTAGATAACAATTGTATTAAAATAGTTCGAAATCGATTTACTGGGAAATAATAATTGTCTGGGGTATTATGTTCTATGGGATATTTCCCTTCCCACGAAAGAAGTTTCATACTTGTAGTCAAAGCCTGAGTACTATCTGCCGATTTTTCACATTTAAAAGCTAAAAGAAGCAATCGGAAAAAATCTTCATAACGTTCTAGGAGCCATTCTTTATACTTCGTTTCCGCACTTGTATCTGAAAATATTGAAATGTAACCTTGTATATTGAAAATTACATACTTTTGTTAACTTGTGGATGCTGAATATTAAGGAGTTACATAGTATTGATTTGTTGTCAGCTTCATTTCTTACCTTTAGGCTTTAGGGGTTTAATTTCAATATAGCATTCACGTCTTTTAATTAATTCTGTAAAAACTACTTCTAAAGTAAGAACACAGGATGATACATTTTGCTCTTTTCTTAAACTTTCCTAAAAAAAAATTTTCAATAACCTAACCACAAAATTTTTTTCAAATTAAAAATCTTACTTCGAAAAATTGTATTAGATCTACTAGATTATTGGCATGTTTTCTTGAATTTAAAAAATCATTTGCCTTTAGTTTTAACTGTTTAGAAATTCCTCGATAACTATTACTTATATTTGGATCTGACATCTTATAAATAATAGTGCGAAATTGCAAAATTCCGTGAAACTTTTTAAAATGTTGGAGTTTTTACATTCCCAAAATCTCCACACATGACAGATGTTTTGACATTTCATTCAAATGTCAAAATATCTATTTAGACTTTTTGACATTACAGAAGACATTTATAAGTAACTTTTTGAATTCTACATAATTGAGCGGAAGATAAAGATTTGATACAGGGTTGAACATAACATAAGTATTGTGCAAATTAAAATTTGTTCTGCGCTAAGGTTCTGCTACTGTTTACATATAAAAATGAAAACATAAACAAATTTCTGAAATTTCGTGAATTTTGCAGCAGAAATTATCCATTTTCTGAAAAGAAGGAAAATTTAAAAAAATAATTTCGTTAGCTAATTTTTTTTGATCACATTAATTTAATTTTATTTTTTATTTTATTATTAAACTTTATATAGGGTCTGATCATCTATCTCGCTATTTTACTCAGCAAGTAAGAAGAAAATGAGTAACTATTATATATTTGTATAATGCAATTTTCTAGTCAGAAGAATTATTCGGTATTTCGTATCTTGTTTTTTTTTCTAAAATATATACAAAATTTATTCAATTTGTTTCTGAAAGTGAATCCAATTGAACAAATGAGTAATCACACCGGAAAAATAAAATATCCTTTAGAAAAACTGATAATTCTGATTTGAAAGTGAATAAAAAGTGAGCAAAACAAGCTATTAGGCTAATAATTTACTATAATATATGCACTAATATTTGGGGTGGTGTCGTTACCGCACTCAAACACATGTATAATATTAAAACTACAACATAATCTTATGACTGTTTACATATCAGACTTCAAAAAATTATTATTAAGTTTGACTTTTCGTCAAAGTTAATAATTTTTTGAATTTTTATAAAAAAATTATATTCAAAATAAGAATCAGCTGGTGGCTGTTCCAAACAGTCCCAAAAAATATTTTTTGCGCTTTTGCTTTTAAAAAACCTGATAAGAATAGAGTGATTTTTATTATTTATCATCAGACAAAATCAAATAAGAATTTCATAATGTAAACAGTATCTACAACGAACAATTCTGTTACCAAACTTTGGTATACAATTGTATACGTATGGCAATTCCATATTTAGATACTTTATTTCGCAAAAGCTACATCAATATTGAACTACATTGCAGTGTAGTGTAATTTTGGACTAAGTAAATTTCAAAGCGTGGCTGGCCAGAAAGTTAAAAGGTAAAAATAAGTCGTTTTTGTACATAAATATAAAAAAAAAAAATAGTTTTCATAATTTAAAAAAGTTTAAGTAAACTTTCCTAAATTAATGTAAAAAAGAATACCACCTAAATTTGATTCTAGAAAAGATTTATTAGGAAAGAAAGACAACACGGAAACTTTCATTGGCCACCACATACTACTACAATCATAATTTCTATTCACTGAAGTCAATTTTTTTAATCCTTATTCCGGAATTTCGTACGTAAAATTTTGCAAATGGATTTAATTATTGTTTATTAAGCATGTTTAATTAGTTAATATATGTTTTTAATGTAATTGTTAATGTAAAAAGTATAAATTCTATTTTTAAAAAATTAACATTTTGTTTGCGTTATTGAGTGCTTTTACAAAATTTTTACGGGTGCGGTGACACTTGATGTAACCTTTTTAATTGATAAAATTCATAATAGAGAAAGCCTTTATTATATTAACTTAGTATAACCTATATTTTCAAAAAATAATTTTAATTTTTTTTCATAGGAAAATGAGTAGCTCTGAGGAAGTGTCCTGGGTTACATGGTTTTGTGGTTTGAGAGGAAATGAATTCTTTTGCGAGGTAAGGTTTTCCCAATAATTTAATATAAGCATTTGCCAAGTAATAAAAAACAACTTTTACAGGTTGATGAGGATTATATACAAGATAAATTTAATTTAACTGGGCTAAATGAGCAGGTTCCTAATTACAGACCAGCTCTCGATATGATTTTAGATTTAGAACCTGGTAACATCATTCAAAAAAATATTTAATATATTTTATATTGTTAATATTTGTATTTATATTTAGAGGACGAATTGGAAGACAATCCGCATCAATCTGATATGACAGAACAAGCTGCTGAAATGCTTTATGGATTAATACATGCTAGATATATATTAACTAATCGTGGTATTGCCCAAATGATAGAAAAATACCAAACAGGAGATTTTGGTCATTGTCCTCGAGTTTATTGTGAAAGTCAACCTATGCTCCCTTTAGGTACGTACATATATATTTCAAATTTAGCACGTATTTTTTGATGCGATTTTTTTTTTTATTTAAGGCTTGTCAGATATACCTGGTGAGGCAATGGTAAAAACATATTGTCCAAAGTGTATTGATGTTTATACTCCGAAATCTTCGCGACATCATCATACTGACGGGGCTTATTTTGGTACTGGTTTTCCTCATATGCTTTTTATGGTTCATCCGGAATATCGTCCTAAAAGACCAACAAACCAATTTGTTCCAAGGTTTGTACGAATTTTGTGTATTTAATTTATGTACCTAAATTTATTGTATTAAAAATGTTCTTGAAATTTATCAATTATTATTTCTTGGTTTCAGACTATACGGCTTCAAAATTCATAGCTTAGCTTATCAAATTCAATTGCAAGCAGCGGCCAACTTCAAAATGCCATTAAGAGCGGTAAATTTGAAGTGAAATTATTATAAAAATAAAAATATAAAAACAAAAAATGAAACAAAAGAAAAACAAAAATTCATTTAAATTAAAAAAAAAAAATATTTAATATTTTCAAAAATTTCGCATTGAAAACCTAAAAACCAGCAAATCGTAAATTACAATAAATAATATGAATACTATTGTGGCGAAATAACTAGTATAATAACAATGATAATATTAATTTAAAATAGGAAAATGGATTAGACTAAAATTTTTGTTCAAAAAAAAATATATATATATTAACAAAAATTAAGAAATTTATTACAAAATTACCATTTTATCTAAAAAAAAAAAAAAAACAATGAAAAAATAAGTACCAAGAAAGTAAAATGATCTTTTGTTTTATTAAAAATATTTTTTTTTCTTCACATATCAATAAAATTATCTTAAGTTTCCTCATAATTTAACCACATTATTTCATTAATCACGATAGCAAAAATTATATCTCATTAGCAAAAATATTTTGAAATCAATGATTCGTTTTTTTGTGATAATTGGATTATCTGCACATTTCCCTCACAATTTTTGTTTTAAAACCCAATATAATAAGTGGTCAGTTCACAATTTGCATACCTACTTCATAAAGCAGAAATTTTATTCAAAATTAAAATATGTTAATATTTTAATTTTACAGCAGCGTACCAATAATAGAGAAGAAGATGGTGAAACACCTCAAGAACGTCAGGGAAGAACATAGACTTCTTTACCAAACTTTTTATATACAAATATATTTAATTTTTAAGCTAAAAATATAAACAAGCTCAATGATAATGAAGCAAATTATTGTTAATTGTAGCTAAAATTAAAAAATTTTCTTAAAAAAACTTCCGTTTACCACTATTAGAATTAAAAATGCTTCACAAATAAAAAATTTTGCAAAATTTAGAAAAATTAAGTTAATACCAATTACAAAATATGTTGATGTTAATGATAACAGAAATTGATGAATCTAAAAACCACAGTAAAATCATATTTTTATTATAATTATGTTAAAATGACCATTTTTATTTTCAAAGAAGTTTCAGGTGGGATTAATATAGTTATTAATGCATTTATGTATACATATACTTGTATTGGATTGGTTTGGGTTGATATAATCATTATTTAATCACATGTCATAACATAAGATTGTACAATTTTTAATTGCGGTCCATAGTGTATAGTGCATAGTGCAATAGTGCATATTATATGCTAATTTCTACTGAAGTGAAAATTCACAATTTTAATATAAAATCATTTGCAATAGAAACATTTGTTCAAGTGATATTAATAGTAGGGATATGACATTTTTCATAGTGCAAACATTTTTCCCGTCATTTTCGAAAACTTTGACAAATTTAAAATTTATTAACTTTTGAAAGAAAATGTTGAAACTGCTAAATATTTGGACAATTATTGGAACCATCTATGGTTAGCATTAGATTGTAAAAATCCTTGTTGAAAGAAAACATGCTTGTAACATATTTATTAATATGAGGATCTGGCTTTTGACGGATTTTTGAATGTTGAAATTCAATTAAAAATTTATTACTCTTCCAAAAATATGAAATAATTTTTGTCAAAAAGTTTTCCAGTCAAAAATAATTCTTATCAAAAAACGCAGCTCACACAATTTCGACTTTTAATTAATTGACAAACTAATTAGTAAACTAAGTAATAGCTCGTTGATTTACACACTTACTGGGCAGATCGCATTAATATTCTTTTGTCAATTACCCCGTTCTTTTGTCCTGTTTGTTCAATTAACCCGTTTATGTAGTAGCATGAAGCGTACATGAAGGTAAACAAGAATGTAAAGTTAGATTTATATAATAGGTATGTACTGAATTGGAACGTATTTTGGCATTTATATATTGTATACGTTTTTTATACACATTATTGACTTTTAATCCCATTACAATTTACATATGATTTATGACAGATTCATATATTTGTTTAGTTTTTTAATGTTAACCTTATCAAAAATTTTGGTATCGTCAAAAGAATTCTCAGATACATTATTCTATAGATATTTTATCTGTAGTAAAATGCTTAGTTTATTCAAAACACACCAAATTCAAACTCAATTAATTAGGAACTATGGAAAACATAATAAAAAATATTTATACAGAGACGAAGATAAAATGAAATTTGGGAAAATTATTTATTATCCAAGGTATGTAGATGGATGCATTTCTATTATACTATTGTGAAAAAAATTAATTTCAGGACACCGGACCACAAAGATCCTCCTATAACCCCATCAAAACTATTTCGTGTCCAACGTGTAAAACCAGTTAAAGGTAATCCTTATTGGGAAAAACGTATTCTTAAAGATTTGGGGCTAGATGGAAAACAAAGTGATTTTACCGTTGTTAAAAATATACCAGAAAATAATGCTAGACTCTGGAAAATAAAGCATTTACTGAAAATAACACCAATAACTTTCCCATATGGAGAACCAACAGAAAATGATATAAATAACACAATTTTAAAAGAAAATGGTGAATGCTTAGTAGCAAAGGAATTAAAAATTTCAGATCAACGAATAGAGGCTACAGAAATATTCGAAAAAGATGCTAATCGGTTAGATGGTGAGACACTGAGAAAAGATAGTCGATTAAAATGGTTAAATGCATGGTAAAATATTATTTATCCACAGATATAAAAAAATGCTAAATTTTTCATTTTTATTTAAGAAAAAATATAAGTCAAAGTAAAAAACCTTATTCAATTTTTTAATTGTCGTGAAGTAGAAATTTCACGTTTTATGTACTCTATAATTATTCATAACATCTATCCTCACTTTTCCATCAACTCTTTTACATCCACCATCTACATATAAATGATGATGAGGGTCATAAACAACATAATTGCTCAATATTTCACTAAAAAAACAGGCAAAATAAATGAATCTGTTTAAGAAACACGGAAATTTAAAGAGCATAACTTACGAAATTGACCTTTCTGTTGGGTTAACTTTCCATCTGAAATACTCGGTTATTATACATTTTCTAACGTGCTTTTTCTCTAATGGCAAAAATGGTACAAAATGATCTATTAAATTGGCTTTCAACAAACTACAACCCTGCAAACCTCCATTTAATGCATAAGCACCTATTTCTAATATTTCTTCAAAATGGTGGTGTTCTGTTGAATCACGTTCAACTCCTAAACTTCTTAGCTCGTAAAGTTTATCAAGTATTTCTTCTCCGGCATTATTTGTTAAAAAAATAAATATGGCTTTAGAAAAATCGGCATCTTTCACGTTGTTGTGATAATCTAAGAAAGTTGATATGGCTTCAAAAACACCCTTAGGTAACAAATGAATTTCATCAAATATAAACATAGAATGTGGGCACTTTCTGACTTCACTTAAAACTTTATCTTTTATATAAACCTGCAATTTTAAATTTAATATAGAAAAGTTAAAAGTTTTAAATGTATTATTTATCTCACTTTGTATTTATTAACATCAGCCTCAACTGGAAAATCAGATTTACCAAATTGGTGAACAAATTTGCTTTGCAAATCGTAGCTATATATGTGCTTCGCAATCATTTTTGCCACAAAGTTTTTTCCTGTACCTGAGCCACCATGAAAACTAATTACAAGTGGTTTACTTGACTCTACATTTTTATGGAAGTGACTTCTTAAAGCTGGTATTATTTGCTGAATAACTATATGTTGACCATATAAATTTTTTCTTAAGTCCTCTTCTAAAGCTGCAATAAAATTGCTAATCATACATATTAATTTTCATTTTAAAATTTAACTTACCAACTAAATTTGGTGAGATTGAACTAGATGAACAACATTCAACATTTGGCAATTGACAATAAGTATATTCAGCTATGAAATAAAAAGGATTAAAAAGTCCACAACACGATTTAAAAAAAATTACTATAATTAATAACGTTAAGCGGAACATTTTACGGTAATTTTTTTGCAATGTTCACAATTGCATGTGATACAATATTAACCTTTATTCTTTCAATAAATTTACAAATAAACAAAATTTTTATAAGTACATAGAAAACGGGAGATACCCTTTTTACGTAATATAGTATGAAAAATAGATTATAAAGTACAAAAATTATGGCTTAAAGATAATAGAGATAAAGGTAATTTTAGAGTCAAATTTTCGTGTAACGCTCAACGGTTCAAAATTTTAATTAAAAATTTGAAAAGAAAAACATATGTATGCGCATGTATAGCACCACAGAAATCTTTATATATACATGTATTACATTATAGGAGTCTATGATAGCATTCACTTATGTATGTACATATGTATATTTATGTAAATATGTATATTATTCAAAGTGATATGCAAATACAAATTTCATATATCCGTATTTGTGATTTCTTGAAACTGATAGTTTCTAAAGTTTATGCAAATATGTAAATATTGCAAAATTGAACGAAACCATAAATATGAAAATGAATTTAAAAATCTGTGAATCGCACATTTCCACGCATAAACCGTCATCAATCGCATTACTTGGAGTGATAGGATATTATTAAAAAAATTTCGTTTTTCAATATAAAATTTCGAGTTTCGAAATTGATTTTATTTAGAGAATTACAAGCTTTTTATATAACAACCCTAACAGAATACGTATAAAAATTTCTATTTAAAATAGGTACCTAACTATGAATTTTACTTTTTCTTTTTTAAGTTTGAATAATAAGTAAAAAGCTATGTAAGCACATTTTTTTCCTTAAAAATTTTTTATTAACTTAAAACTGTGCAAAATGAATAATATTATCTTTTTTCCTGTTTGATTTACAAAACAAATTTCTCACTATTTACAAAATCTCAAATTTTACAAAAATCTCATTTTTAGTTTTAAAGATTATATTTGGACTTGTCCAATTGTATGATTTTGAAAAATTTAAATATAAAATTTTTTTAAATGCTGGTCTAATAGGAATTGAGTTATGTTATTTTTCCTCGGCTAAATAATTTGCATTAACATCTAATCTGACCTTTGCGTCAAGCCGTTTGCATCCAGCGGTGGAATATAATTTATAATCGGGATCATAAACTACATTACTATCAAAGATGTAACTAAAATGAAAAAAATCATATGTTTAATATATGATTAACTTATTATTTAATATTAACTCACTTAATTGAACTTTCCATAGGATTAACATTCCATCTTAAATATTCTGCTCTTATGCAATCTTTCACATGTTGTTTTTCCAAAGGCAAAAAGGGTAAGAAATGATCTATTAAATGTGCTTTTAATATGCCTCCACCTTGTAAACCACCATTTAATGTATATGCCCCGGCTTCTAAAATATCTTCAAATTCATGTAATCGTGTAGAGCTTCTTTCTTTTCCAGATTTCATCAATTCGTAAAGTCTATGACCTATTTCCTTTCCGGCAGTATTTGTTAAAAAAACATACATCGCTTTAGAATAATCAACTCCATTGATAATATCATGATAATCCAAAAATGTTGTCAAAGTTTCAAAAGCACCTTTAGGTAGTCTGTCTACTTCATCAAATATAAACAAGGACCGTGGACACTCTTTAACAGCCTTTGTTATATTATCAGCAAGTTCTACCTATAATTAAAAAAGTAAAAATGTAAATTGTAAATTTGTATAAGTATATTGGATATAAAGTGCATATAGGCATATTTACTAACTTTATATTTATCGATGTCCGATTCAAGAGCAAAATTTACTTTACCAATTTTGTGCACAAATTTGCTATTTGTTCCTTTTTTATATAAATGTTTTGCAATAAAATCTGAAACAAAGTTTTTTCCAGTACCAGGTGTACCATGAAAGCTAATTACGAGCGGCTTCCTTATTTTCACCTCATCCTGAAAATGACTTTTTAATGCTGGAATTAAATGCTCGATAAGTATATGCTGACCGTATAAATTGTTTCTTAAGTCTTTTTCTAATTCTAAAATAAACATAATTATTGGTTTTATGCATATATTTCAAGATCAAGCTTATCTTACGTGGTAAATTAACTGGAATTGAGCTAGGTGAACAACATTCTACCATAGGAAGTTGGCAATATGACACTTCTTTCAATTTTTCGAAATTGTATAAACCATACCCACTTAATCCCCCAAGACCCCCTACTACAGTCCACGTTATTGGATCGAAACCGCAACATAATTTGAATAAATATAATAATAGTAGTACTTTCCACTTTAACATTTCTACTTTTTAGCAAATTAAACTATTAAACTAAACTATTCACCAATTATGCTTTGATACAATGAAATGATGATATTAAATATATCTGGGAAATCCCTTTTAAGATTGGGAGACTACTATTGTACTTACATATATCTTTTTAGAATTATTTTGTGGTTTGAATTCAATAGTGTTCGAATATAAAATGTAAACAAATTAATGACGTTATTGTCCAAACTCATATGAAAATTTTTTTTGACAACGCCAAAAAAAGGAAATTTTGGCAGTCCACCTATTGGAGCTTTAGTTAAATAGAAAATGTTGCAATTTTGTATATTTTCCAAAGGAAAATGTTTTGGAAACTATTTTTGGGTAAAATAGTAATAGACTTTTCGAGTCTTACGTGGGTTTGTTCTGCTATCTCATATTCCATACCTTCCATGTAACAGTTCAATTCTAAAGTAATATGGTAATTTTTTTTTGAATAACCTCAGCATTTTCTGCTTCATAAGTTTGATCACCTATGTACATATTTATACACTATTTTTCAAAATTTAAATTTCATACTGTAAATAGCAGGTGGGTAGCTTTAGAAAATTAAAAATATAATTAAAACTCATACAAACTTACATTTGTATGTACATATATTTTTTACCACCCCATTGGCCAACTTATGCAGGCAACAGAATATGAATGAATGAGCATACATACTTGTAATGTAAATATGAAGTATATATACATACATATTATTATGTATTTAGTTAAAAGCTAAAATATGCTATACAATACAAAATATGAGGGTAAAATGTATTTATGTACATATATAAAATTATTTTTATTTACACGAAAAAGAATGCAATAAACAATTTTTAATATTTTGAAAATCATAATTATACATTTTTAAGGGATTCTAAAAGGCACCACAATATCTTCTTTGTGTTCTACTTTGATTTCTTCAACAGCAATTTGAGCTTTACTAATAGCACTTTTAAGTAATGATAAATCTGATGCGGATATAGGGGTTGCAGTCAAATAAAATTCAGGATTTGGAATATCTTTAAGTAAACCTAAAATTGAAAATAGGTTTATTGTTGGATATTTAAAATTTCAAATTTTATTTTAAATTAAAACCTGTTGGACCATTCGTGGGATACTGGATATTGCTCCATTGTTGTTGAAGTCTTTGGGTATATATCTTAACGCGATCATTATATTCTTTATGTTCAAGATTATGTGAGTCCATAGCACAAACATGTATCATATTGCTTTAAAAATAGAATGATTTAATTAAAACAAAAAAAAAAAATACGTTTAATGAATACTTTTCTGTATTTTGAACAAGTCTACTAAGTGCTGTTTGTTCATCTTTTTTTGGTAGTGGTTGTGAATATTCATTACTAAAATTGTCAGAATTTGTTCTACGTAAAGCTGGGCTATTATTTACAGGATCAATAAGAAGATGAGTTCTTTCATTTGGTTCCAGCCCCTGATTTATATTAAAATCAAAATTTATAAATTTTAAAAGGAAAATTAAGGTGAATGAATTTGAATGCATATATGTATAATATGCATATGAACTTACAGAACTTTCTTCACTGCAATTTAAACAACTGCAAAATGTTCCTAAACAAGTAAGAACTGGTCGAATATAATCCATTTTAAGTATCTTTCTTAAAAGATTAACTAAAATGCAACTCTTGCAGGGCAATAAATATAATTATGTTTGTGATTTCCTTTCGATTGATGTTTTATTATTTTAGAATATTTTTTTTACGAAACATCTGATAAAAGTTTTCGTTAAAAGCAAACGTCAAACTTATGAAAATTAAAGGTGGATTCATTGGTTTGTCGCACGATTGACAGATAGGATATTTTTGTTATGTCAAGGTTTATCGCTTTGACGTTTCAAAAAAACCTTCACAGTCTGCACCTAATTGTTTTGAGAAAGAGGAAGAAATCTGCACAAAAAATACAGGAGTACAAAATAAATCACTTTGTCGCGAAAGTCGTTTGCATTTGTTTACAATTTACATTGATAGCAGCACTTTCTATTATTTTTTCTTATGGCAGTGAAAAGTTTGATATTTTAAATTTATTTTATTTTGTATGTATTTATTTTGCTGAATGTTTTTTTTGAATGAATTTTTTTTTCTCTCTCTCAAACAGTTGAATAAATTTCAATAGTGTATAGGTTGTAAATAGTGTGAAGGTTTTTTAAAACTTCAAATTTACACATACTGTACTATTACAATTATATATAATTCTTGTCAAAAAGTAATAAATGCATCATAACAAAAAAAAAAGATCGGATTTTCTCAGACGGTTTAATTAATAATCAATCAATTTAATAATTAATCAAGAGAAAAACTAGTTCGACTTTAAATAGCTCAGCTCGAAAACGACGAACCAATGAATCTCAACTTTACTTAGTTGCAGCAACCGGTTTTTGTAGAGAATATGCTACATAAATATGTATATATAATATAAAATACATATCGAGATGTCACATCATTAATTCATATTTGATAGTTTATTTTATTATTTACATACTTTCTTGTCAATGTATAAACAATTTTGAAATTTCAAAAATAGAAGTTAAATCCTGCATTATATCTAAGTTTCAACACTAATCATTTTCATAAACATAATAATCAAAATAGATTGAAATTTAAAAAATTGGATTGAAGTTAATGTCAAATAATTTTTTTAATTTACAATGGAAAATCAAATAGTAAAATCAATCGAAGAAAATTTGACTGAAATTTTTAAATTGTGTGAAAATCAGCTAAAAATAACGCCTTCAATATTGGAAAAATCTGCTAGCATATCTTTACAAGTAGATAATTTTTATTCGAGTCATCCAAAAGATAAATCCCTAACAAAATTTATATACAATGAAGAATTATTAAAGAATCTTATTAAATCAGTGGAATTATACAATAAAATTTCATCATCAACACAAGCTAAAAATCAAATGGGATTAGAAAGTTTTACAAAATATTACGAACATAATATTAAAAAAGTGGAGCAATTAATGAGTCTTGTAAGAAAGTTACGTGTTCTTTTAGATACCAATAAAAATATGAGAGAAGAATTCAAATCTTATGATTGGAATAATATGGAAAATTTAGATGAAGAATAATGATGAACACATACAAATGTGACAAATGTTTGTGTATGAATCTATAAACCTGCCTATGTACATGAACATCCAACTTGAATAGTTATCTGCTACATAAATTTATGTCTAAAAAAAAAATTGATATTAATAATGAAAATATTTGTACTATATTATTAATGTAATTAATTTTTGATTATAAGCTATATGTATATATATTAATAATTAAAATTAAACTAACATTTCGAAATTTTAATTAATGTTTTCATTTTATATTCTATAATAAAATAATGTACACTGCATTTTTTGTTTTAGAAAATATGAAACCCAATGTATTATTTAAGTTGTATTAAGATAGTAAACAAAAGTTGAACCAACTTAATGGGTACTATATCAAAGTACGTGGGTACGTAGTTAAAATGGAGTTTTCTAATTTCTGCTAATTAAATTACGTATTCAATATTTACAAATTGGAAAATAATCCCAATTGAACTTTGAATTTAATGTTCATAGCCTATTTTATATTAATTATTTATTCGTATTTCGTATTAATTATTATTCTTTGTATTTTATATTAATTATTCACTTTCTTTTTAATTATTTGTAAAAATCTTTGAATCAATATTTTAATTTTTGACTTAAAAAGCATAAGAATTCGGAAGAAAGGATTTAATTTAATATTAGATTTTAAATGTTATTCTAATATATTTTTAATTACTTTGACTTAATACACTTTGACCTTAGTTACAGGATTAAGACTAGACCTTAATTAACTATCTGAAACGTGTGTATATATGTACATATATAACGTATATCAAATATTTAATTTAATATGTTGATGAATTAAAACACAATTTTATTTGGTTTCTAAAATTATTTATTGATCTGTATACTTTTTTTTCGTCGCTTTTTTTACCTCTGTTTTTCTGAAATAGAAAAATAATTTTTATATATATATTTTTTTAAATTTATATTAAATTTCATATAAAATTTAATTAAATGAAATAATAAAATAAAAAAAAAAAATAACTGAAAAATTAAACTAATAAGGATAATTTTGCTTTTTTTTTTTTGCTAAATTAACTTTTTGTAATTTTTTTAAAATTATGATTTAAAAAAAAAAAATTTTTTTTTAATATAAAAAAGTTAAATATCACATTATTTTACATTAAGTAAATGTAAATTATTTATACATAAAAAAAAAGAAATGTATTAAAACAAATATTTCTAAAAGTAATTGACAAATAAAGAAAAAAAATCTCTTTTTTAATAACTATTATTTGTTTGTTAAATTTATTTAATTTAATTAGTCTTTAACTTTTTTGTCTTTTGTATATAATAGAACACAATGTAGTTATTATATACAAACATATAATAAATCATTATGTAAATTTTTTTAGTTTGTCTGATTATAATTAATGGTAATATTACAAAATATATTATAGTGTTTATTTATTAAATACCAACATTTTATATCTAATATTATACTGTTAAATATGTTTATCTATATAATAATAACATAAAGGAAACATTAAGGAATTGTGTTTATTCTACGTATATTAGCGTTAAATAAACAAGAAAAAAATATATTAATAATTTTAAATGTTTTTATTTTTGAATTTTATTTAATTTAATCTGTGTAATTTTATAATACGTATATTAAACAACATAATGAACAAATCAATTATACATATGTATATATAAATAAATATATTTATATATATTTAAGATTTATATGTATATACATATATATATATAAATAAAAATTATTTTATTTTAAGCATTTTAACATACATACATACAAATATTATTTGAAGTAGAATAGTAGAAGCAAATATCTACGATAATTTAGCAATTAGGCACCAAGAGTTATAACACTAATTTATTATAGTAATAAAGTAATAGTTTTTTTTTTTTTTTAAGTTAAAAAGTAAAAGAAGTTGATGCAATATGAGTTCAGTTCTTCAATTGTTTGAAGAATTTTCTTTTTTTATTTATTCACTTTATGTTTTATAATAAAATATTTTTGAAAAAAACAAGCTCATAATTGACATAGTTTTTAAAATAACAATTGAAATAAAATTATGATGAATTTTGTGAATAATTTAAAAACTTATTTAAATTAAAACACAATTCATTCATTTTAAATGTAATTATTTTTGTAATTTGTATTGCAATATATTCTATCTTTTTTCTTTTATATTCTATTTATTTCGAAATAAAAGTTTTTGTGAAATTTCATTTTCATTTTAGTTAAATTAGAATATCTCGTCCTGTAATAACTCCTTCAGAGTAAAAAAAATTTTCCTAATAAATATTTACTTTTATAATATATAAACAATATTTATATGTAGGCATGCATAATTTATATCGTATTATTTCGATAGAAACTATTTATTAGTAATATAGAACAAAATATATAGTTTGTTGCATAAATTCTAATATTTATAAGCTTATTCTAAAATTATATTATTTTATACGTTAAACAATAATAAAGGTATACCAATTTATATAATTTAGTTTTCAAAATTAATACAATACACTTTTGCATATATATATATTATATAATATTAATCTTATATGAATTGAAAATGTAGATATATATTTTTTTTTAAATTGCAAAAATAAAATTAATTATTGATGTAGTTAAAAAGAAATCATCAAATTGTATTGATTTTTCTATCATTTTTTTTTTGATAATTAATTAGAATTATTAATGAAATTAGTTAATATTTATTTTTTATAAAATTATTATTTATAAAAATATTTAAACAAAATTAAATTATTAAATTAATACAAATGTTTATTATTTTATTTTCAAAATAAATAGATTTTTTTCTATTTTATAAAAATTTTATTTTTATTCAAAATAATTTATGTAATTTATATATGTATATATATATCAATTCACTGTGTCTACTAAGTTTCTTTCATGTAGATAAAAACAATTAAAAATTTTATTTCATTTAGCATAAATTCAAAGAATTTTAGGAAAATTATCTGATATTTGAATATAAGAGTAAAGCTTTATATTAGCAAAAATGTTGAAAATTTGAATAATTATTAGAATTGAAAAATGTAGAGTTTCAATATGAATTTGAAAAATTAGAAAATAATTAATAATATTATTAGTTTTCATACTAAATATTATACTTTGACATAACAATAAGTTTTAAAATATACAAATATTTATTTTAGCTATTTGTTTGATTTGTTTTTAAATATTCAAAATAATTACAGTGATAGTTGTTTTGTTAATTTTTCATTTTCAAAATTTACACAAAAATTTTTTAATTTAAAAATTAACATTTTTGATTTTTACAATTATATTTTTATAATTATGCAAAATTGATGCTTTTAAAACAAACTTTTTATAATTTTTTGTTTAGATTATTTATAATTTTTATTTATTTTATAAATTGTCATAAAATTAATAACTATGTTCAAAAAATCAAACAAAAAAATTTAATAAATTTACTTTCTTAGTAAATAAAGATCTTGGTAGACTACTTTGGATGAATTTATTAAACAATAATAATATTTAATTAATTTTTTTTTTTTTGAAAGAAGAAAAAACAAAAAATACAAGAATTTTGATTATCAATTTATGATTGCTGTTCCAGAAAAAAAATTTACATATTGTCTTTTTTTAATTTTTTAATTTTTTATAATGTTTTTGTGATAACATTAATTCTTTTTATGTGAACATGATTTTTTTTTTTATTTTAACATTTAAAACTAACAATTTGATTTTTAAGTGTAGTTATGAAATTTAAGTCTAGTGAATAATGGCAAGAATAGATTTTGATATTTTATTTTATATAAAATTTTGTTTCTGCTTTATATTTATATGAAATTTATTTTTTTTTTAATTTCAATTTTATTTTAAATACATGATATTTTTACGTAATATATTTTCTTAAAAAATAAACACAATCAGCTCACACATATAAATTTTTATTTATTAATACAATGAAACATTTAAGATAAAGATAATTAAGACATTTTAAAAATTATTTTATTTAATTCTTAAAAAAGAATATGATATTTGGAAATATAAATTTTGCCTAAATAAAATTAAAAAAAAAACTTATAACTAAATTAAATATAAATTGAATCTAAAATTAAATTATGTATTTTTACGTTATTATGTATACAATTATGTTCAAAAATCTAAAACCTTATTAAAAAATTAATTCTGCAAAAAAAAAAAAAGGAAAAATGTGCTTATTAATTAGTAAACATATCAAATAATTATTTTTTTATTTAGTAGTTGAATTCTTATAAATTTATTATATAATAAATTTTACATTTTGTTTCTTTTTTTTTGATTTTAATGTTATAATGCATAAAAATATAATGCTATAAATTTGAAAATTTAATAACATATATTTCAAATAATAATAAAATAGTTTTTTGTTTTTTGAAATATAAAATTTTTAAAATTTCATATCTACAAATATTTTAAAATTAAAATACAAAATATTAGAGTAGTTTAACATAATACAATTTTTTCTCTACAAAATTAAAAATAAAATATTCGTTTATTTGTTTTATCAAAACAATTTTTCTTTGCTTAAATAATAATAATATTTATTAATGTTATTTAAATTTTTTTTTTTGCGTTACAGATTTTCGAATACATTTACAATTTAATTTGATTAATAAATTTAACTAAGAAAATAATTAAATCAAATTACTTTCAGTTTTAATCAAAAAAGAAGAGACTTTACACCAAAATAAATATTTAAAATTATATCGAAAGAAATATAAAAGAATTTGTTCTAAAAATTCAATTATGTTTATTAGTTTTTTTTATTTTAGAATAAAGTGCAAATTTAAAAGAAAATATACATATCTTATTTGTAACTACGTATAATGAATTTTAAGTGATATATTACTTAATTAATTACTTTTTATTTATATTTGTTATATTTTTTTTTTTATTAACAGTTTGTTTTAATAAATAACTAAATTATATATATTTTTTATATAACCCAAAACTTTAGTTCTTGTGTATTGACTACTTTTTTTTATAAACATAAATCTTTAACGAATTATTGAAAATTCCATTATATATTCCAAATAAATTGATATTATAAAATAAATTTAAAAATAAAATTATCGATTATCTTTAAAATTTAATGAAAATTTTAAATTTTTAATTTTATATTTAATAAAAATATTGATTATATAACTTTTAAAACAGTATTTAGCTATTGAATATTTTTTTTTTTAAATTGAAGAATAAAATTACATAAACAATAAATTATGAACTTTGAAAATTTAAATTTCAAATATAAAAAATTTACTGAAATTTAACGAAAGAAATTTAATTAAAAATAATTTTTAATATAAAATTATTAATTAAAATTCTTTTATTTTAAAATTATTCTATTATATTTTACAATGTAGTGTATAATAAAATATAAAAAATTTATTATATATTAAAAAACTTTTTTTTTTTTTTAAATAATTCTAAGTATATTGAACATATATTACTTTAATTATTGTAAATTCCAAAACAAATACAAAAAATAAATATAAATGCACAGAGTTCGAAATACGAGAACATGTTCATAAAAAAAATTTAAAAAAATTTTGATCATCATTAAACATAAAATATATTTAAAGTATTATTAGTTTTTGTTTTGTTTCAGTTGTAACTGATTTTAACATTATATTTTTTTTTTCTATATAAGAACTAAAGTTTGAAAAAAGCAAGTATTCGTACTTCATTTCAAGCAAATCTAAAATTTCTTATTTTTCTTTATTACTTATTTATATTTTATTTAGCATTTTTTATTATATTTCATAATACATATAAAGTACATAAGTCAAATATTTTTTTTTTATAATACAATATATTCAATATTTAATAAGAAAATAATAAATTTAGATTTTAAATGAACTTATGTTTCTTAAATTAAAATTAAATTTAATTATATTTTATAAAATAAAAAATTGATTTACTTTATTTAATATAAGTATTTTTAAATATATATATGTATATAAGAAAATTAGTTTTCATACTGAATTCTATATTAATGTATATACCAATTTTCTAAAACAATACAAAATAGTATAAATTAACATTATAATCTTAAAATAGTAAAATTTTTGGACCCCCTTCATTATTTTTTAAAAAATTTTAATTATTCACAAAAGTAATTAAAAAGAAAAAATAAAATGCGAGAAAGAAAAATTATTCATATAAAAGTTTTAATAAAAAGAATAACTATGTTTTATGTATATTTCGACCAAGTAAATAAAAAATTAAAAACAAAATTGTATTTTATATATAATGTATAAACAAAATTTGAATAATTAAATTATATCAATGAAATTTAATTATTTATTTTGATTTTTGTTTAGACTTTTCTTTTTCTTTATACAAGCATTTTAGTAAAATATTATAAGTAAGAATTTCATTAGAGATCCAATTTGTTTTATATCTAATATCAGAATATTTAATAATTTTATTTTGATTAATTTAAATACATATTCAAATTAAATAATTTATATGATAATATGATATTATCATTATATAATAGTTACCAAAGATGTACACAAATATTATTTAATACGAATAATTATAACTATGTATAATATTATAAATATTTTTTTTCTAGAATTTTATATTTTTACATTCATAAAAATTAAATTATATCAATATATTATATTATTTTTAAATTTAACTTTAATAAAAAAAAATATAATAGAAAAAGAGTTTTCGTAAATCCAGTTGGGGAAGGGGGGGGGGGGGGGGGAGGGGCAAAAGACATCAAAATCAGCTTTCATTTATATTTTATAATTTTTCTTCATTCAAGTTGAATAGAAATTACAAGATTATTTTGATTTAACAAAAATATACAAATGTAAATTATTATCGATATCAATTTTCAAATTTTTATTCTTAATTTATCCTAAATTCTTCTTAATTTTTGCTATCTTGCTTTTTTTTGTCTTCGAATCTAATAAGGAAATTAAAAAAAAAAAAGAAATAAAAATTTATTTAAATAGAGTTTAGTTTTTAACTATTGTTTTTAGGTAAGATAATTTATTATATTAAACTTGAAGTTCTAATAAAAAGTATTTAATACTTTTATTTTTCATTTTAAAAATATCTTAAATTTTTTTTTCGCGACATCTCTATATGAAATTTAATGTTTTTAACTTAATCATGAATTTTTCTATAATAGATTGATTTAAAAAAGAAAGTATTTATAGGCAAAGAAAAAATAATTTTTAATTAAATTTTGAAGCAAATATAATTTACTGAATAAAAAAATTAGAAATTAATAAATAGAACTTTCATAGAAAGCAACATATAAATTTATATAAACGTCAACATATATTGTATGTATATATTAGTAAATACATATTATAATATAACACATATTTGAAAAGCAAAAAATTTTTACTTCCTTTTTCATTTAAAAAAATTTTTTCGATCTATTATCTTTTAAGAATATAAACACATTTATTTATTAAAAAACATTCTCTAAAATAAATTCAAATTTTGGTAGAAAATTTGAAGCCTTTTGTTTTTTTTTTACTTATCTAAATATATTTTTAACAACTAAAACGTTGTATTATTTTATTTTATAGTGTTTTTTGTAAAAGCCTTATTTTGTCAAAATATGCTTCCATTTTTTTGCATGCTTATAAGCTAATTATTATCTTAAAAAAATTTTTTTTTTAATTTTTAGTTAAAAATTAAAAATTAGAAAAAAAAAATAAAACAAAAAAATTACAATAAAAAAATGAATATAAACTCACGAACCCGTTGTTGAAATTATTCCATGTATTTTGAAGAATCATTCATAGTTGAGAACAGAAAATGATAATATATAATAATAAAACTGGGTGTTTTTAATATATTTTATAATAATGATGGCAATTTTTTTTTAGTTATCATTATTATTCAATAATTTTTTGAATTCTCTTTTTGGCGCTATCTTTGACGGACACTTTTGGTTTTGGTTTTTCGAGTCTATCGAAAACTTTTTTTTTCATTGAATCAATTTTATCTGAATTTTTTTGGAATGGTTTTAATAAAACTTTACGATTTGACGACATAAATAATTTTTTTGGTTTTTGTTTTATGTTTTCATCATCATCAACAAAATCTTCTTTAGTATCACTTGCTGTATCATAATCATCATTTTTGCCATAAATAATATTATCATCGTCATCATCAATATCATTCTCAATTTCAGGGCCAATTTCTGGGGTATTTGATGGTGATGGTGTTGGTGATGCTAATAAACGTTCTTCCTCTAAAAGCTCATCATCATAATCATCTAACATCTCATCAGAGTTGCAATCAGTTTTTTGACTTTTAGAAAAATCTGTTTGAACAGTCGTTGATTTTTTGAATACAGGTTTAATAACAGCTGTGGTTGTTGCTGCGACAATTGACGAAGTTGTACTTTGAGCTGTACTTTTAATAGTATTGCTTCCACCAGTGGTTGTTGATACGGCAATATCTTTTTTAATATGTTCAGTTAGAGAACGTTTTGCATCTGGTAATATTTTTGCAGTGGGTATAGAACGTTTAGTGGCTGCACGTTGTGGACTAGTACTACTACTACTAGTTTCAAAACCTTTTTTATTTGTTGAAGAATTTCGTTGCATTTTATTATTTGCTTGTTCCATTTCATTTCTATCTTTAACTTTTTTCAAAGATATAATTTTACTTTCAGTGACTACTATTGGTTTTAGTTTCAATGGCTCATCATTTTTATCCTTAAAGAAGGGGATTATTGTAATAAAATTATATTAATAAAATAAAATTTTTTAAATATATGTATGTATATATATATTCATATTTTGTATGTATACATTTTTGAAATCTTACTTCAGTCAATTTTTCTTCTGCTGCTTTTCTCCTTCTCAGTTCTTTGTCTTTAAGGATTTTTTCTCTCATTGCTTTTTGCTTTTCAATTTCCAATCTATATGCTCTCGTTTCTTCATCTTCTTCTTCCTAATGAGAAATAAATTAAAATAATTAAAAAAAGTGTTCGCGTTGTATTTTCATCGTTCCTTACCGGATTTCTGTCTTTATCTTTACGATCTGGAGAAAAACTTCTTCGTCTTTTATCGTTTTCCCAATCTCTACTATTAGCTCGTCTGTTACGACCTCCAGCACCACGAAATCCTCCTCCTCTCCTATCTCTGTAGAATTCTCTTCGCTTTGGAGGCGAATAGCTTCGTTCTCTACTTCTAACTCGTCCTCGACTTCTACTTCTACTCCGGCTCCGGCTTCTACCTGGAGATCGGGCGTATCTTCTTTTATCTATTTGCATTTGATTTTTTTTTATAAATTCTTCTTGTTGTCGAAGTAGCTCTTCATCACTTTGTAAATGAGAAACATGCGAGCTAATAGTTTGAATAAATTGTGTATCTTTCATAAGTTGACTCGTTGCAGCTTCAACTCCTCCTTTAAAATTTGGATTTATAAGTACTTTACGTGGCAATACAGCAGAATTCGAAGGATTTTGATGTAAATTTCCTCCCATACTTGACTGGATTAGGTGCGGTTGTGGTATTTGAGTAACGGGCTGGGGTATGTAATTTGGATTATTTTGAGCTCCAATTGGAATGGGAGGTTGCGGTCTTAATGGCATTCGAGGCCTTAGTTGATTTGGATCAGAAGGACGATACATTGGTCTCATTAAATTTCCTGCTTGAGGACGATTGTTATATGCTGGTATCATACCATTAGATTGAGGATGCCTTTGCCCATACATTCTAGGACCACCAACGCCTTCATTAAGATTTTGTGGAATAAAAGTTGGACCCATGGGTCTGTGATGTGGGAAATCCATTCTTGGATTCATAATATGACCACCGGGAGGATGGTAAGGATGACGCGGTAAGGGAATTTGGGGTTGATGTTCATTTGAATAAGGGGGTAAGGAATTCGAAGAGTATTGCATTTGCTGCATGCCATGTGGATTAGATTTTTCACCTCCCAGCGCTTGTCTTGAATTAAATGGTATTCTAATATTAGGTGGATGATTTCGTGGTAAAAAAAGCGGTCCCCCACCACGTCCTCGGCCGCGTTTCCCATAGTGGTAACGAAGATTTTGATGATTTTTTTCTAAAAAAACCAAACAGAAATTTGATTAATTCTAAATTATTTATAAAATATTACAAATATACCTGGAGATGAGCTTACATCCTCCCTTTCTGAAGCTTGTTTTATATTTAGCCGTTCACCCAAATTTTCTTCACTATCTTCATCTCTGATATCTGGCTCATAATTCAGTTCATCTAAATTTGAGCTTTCTTGTGAAATTGGCAAATATTCATCTTCATTTATTTTAATATCCTTATTTGTAGATGATACTTCATCATTTTGAGACTTAATTTCCTCTTCAAAAGACGCTAATGTTGTGCCTTCTGGATTTAATGTGTTTTCTTTTGGTAATAATCCACTTGTAGTAACCTTTATATCTGATGGTTGACCGTCTGTTGCCTTATTGCTTTTACCAACATTATCAGATTTATGTAACTGATTATTTTCCGTATATTTTTTATTTTCTTTATTAGATTTGTTTGCTTCATTAGATTTTGTTGACGATTTCGCTGCTTTATTTTCCTCTTTGACTTCTATAATATGAAAATATTATTCAATAGAAACTAGGGTTTTATAAATTTATACCTTCATCAGATAACAATAAATCGTCTTCATTGCCCAGCAAAGCGTGTTCGTCTAATTCACCCAGCAGTTCACAATTAAGAAGTTCATCTGCATCACTAAAAAAATTTTATTAAATTAAAGTTTTTCATTTCATTTCAACATCCAACAAGGTATTTTATTTTAGATATTGGCTGATTTTAGATAATGTGAAAATATTTGTTTTAACTTCAGTGACCTCTATAAATATCGATGTTTCACAAAAATTAATTTTGCTATAATTATAGGTATAAAATGTATGTAAGCCAAAATTAAAAGTTTTGAATTGGTTTTAGACAAATAATATCGCGTTTTATTTAAACTTCATTTAATTGAATATTTGGAAAAATGCACAGACAACACACAAAACACATTTATTCAGAAAATTATAAAAATTAATGAAAAATGAACTGGTGTATGTATAAATACATTTAATAATTAAAAAAAATATTTTGAATTTCCCAGAATATAAATGACATATAATTTTTCTTTCTTTAATGAATACTTACTTTATGTCCGACATTTTAGCTTTTTTTTTCGTCTGAATTCTCAACTCAGTTTATATCAAGTTAATAAGTTAAATTTAGGATTTTGACATTTGTGTTGTCAGTCTCACATAAGAAGTTAATTTCGATTCTCGAAATGAGAGACACGATAGCATTGAAAGGTTAGCGGTCGTTTAGTTGGTTCGAGTACACTAAGGTTATTTAAGGTCTTAAAAAAATTAGGGCATAATTTTCTTCAATATGGCAATGTAAGTATGTAATAATCTGAAGAAAAATTTTTTTTATTGTTTTAAAAAAATAATGTTTTAGGAATCAAAATTTAAAAAAATTAAGATTAAATATATTATAAACCCTGATAGCCGTTTACATATTAGACTTAAATTATCTGATATAGGTCAAAATTTAACCATTTGCCGCAAACAATTTATGTCGGCACTACCTATGTTCCTCTTAAAAAATTTGACAGTAAATCAGATAGGAGTAGAGTAATTTCTATAATTTTTCTCATGAGAAAGTCTGCTGCTATAATTTATTTATACATCCGAATTTTATCAGATTCAGATGTGCTAAAAACAGTTTTAGGGTATATTAGAAAGTAACTTTTTGTTTTTTATAAGTAAATAATGTAAAATATTAGATAACAAATGAAAAAAAAAACAAAAATAAACAATTTAATTAAGCTTTTCATTATAAAGTATTTGGAATTTAAGGTTAGGTTTCAACCTTTGATATGACATGTAAAATTTTGAAATAAAAATATGCATTTTTAAACAAATGTAAGTTAACAAGGGCTGGTCAATTTATTTTATCTATATAAATATACATAAATATAATCATATTTATTTCTCATTTTACATTTGACAAAAATGAATATTGCAATTACTTATGTATATTGCTGTTACGCCATTATGTGTTACATTTACGTAAATTTTAATTTCTTATAAGTGTTTCTATAAACTTTTATTGCTCAACATTTTATGATTATACGGATACATATTCGATTTCTGAGGCAGCTGTTGTAATCTAAAAAAGTGCTGCTGTTGGTTTGGTTGAATTGTTCTGCAGTTTGATTTCTTGAAATATAAAAATATTTTGTGAAAAAAATCATTGAAAAAATATTTGTTTATTATTTTAAAGTTGTATTGTTAAGTAAACATTAAATAATTTTTAAAATTAAACATTTCAACATTAATTTATTATTCTTAATATTAAAAAAATTAACTTTGTAACTTTTTTTGTGTGGCTTGACCATGGACTAAAAATATGTATTTGTTTGAACACTTTTTTTAATATGTGAAATTTCAAAAAACGAATTTTTGGTTCAGTATTGCACTTTTTTTTTGGGTAAGTGTTTTAATTATATCAAAAAAACTACGAAAATATGAAGAGTTTCTAGTAAATAATTTGAAAAAATTCTTGAAATCTTTTTTTGAAAAAATTGAAAATTTTCATAGCCGCCATTAAATGTCGGCATATCAAGCATTCTTTAGCACATTTTTACTTTGATTTAAATGTAATATGCTAAAGAAAAACTAGTTTACATATTGTCTGTCATAAATTTTTATAGGGCACATAATGTATTTTACTCAATGAATTTAATATTTAATAACAGTTTAAAAAAATTACTTAATTTTTTCATTCTTTTTTAAAAGTATTATTCAATTATTACATATTTTTTTTAAAAAGCCGAAAAATTTTTTTTCCAAAATAAGAAATTGAATTCTAGTGAGTTTGGCTTATCCAAGTAAAATCTTGTTCCGAATATTTTATTTGTTTGCCAATTTTTTAGAACTAGAATTTAAAGCTACATTTAATGGTAGTGCGCATTTTTTAATTTATTACCATTAATTTTATCTGAAATAAGTGAATAAATCATAAAAGAAATTATTTTCTAATTTAATTTTTAGATGCGCTGATGTTATTGCTAAAGAAACATACATATTTTAAATTTGGATCTTTTCCTTTTTTTTTGGCGTTGCGCTTTACTTTTTCTGTTTTCACCTTCCGTCTGATTCCAGTGCAGAGAACTAAGTCTTAAACAGTTTAGTTTAGCTTTGACTAATAGAGTAGAGACCAATAGTATAAAGAAAAAAGAATAATGAATAAAAACCCACCTTGAATATAAATATATGAAGGTATTTCATATACATATATTGATATTGTGTATATATTCCGTACAGGCATTAATTTTCAATGGTTTTTATTTTATACATACATAATATATAGGTACATTTTTTTTTAAATGCTTAGATTGCCAGTAGTATTTATGACAATAATTTTTTCTTTCAAATAAATAAATTCAATGAAGTATTGAACATCTTAATTAAATTGTAAAAAAATCCGCATAAGAAAAATTTATATATAAGTACCTTTCTATCTTTTTGAGCAAACTGCACATTGATTGTAAGTTAATTGAAATTTTTATACATTTTAAATACAATTTTCTAATGGTTCTGATAATGTAAATTAATTGTTAGGATAATAAGAACTTTTAATATGTCTAATTTATGTAGGAACATCAACTTTTGTTGAATATGCAAAAATAGTTAAATACCTATAATAGTATACATAATTCGCAAACGTTATGTACCTACCTACCAAACTCCATAATAAATATAATATGTATGTATAATATGATAGAAGTCGTAGAACTCACTGAATATAAAAGTGATATATGTATATAAATTAATTCTATTGGTAGATTATAAGGTAAAATGCAATTATGTCGTCGATATAATTTATATTGCTTTGGTAGGTACATATTTTTTTTATATGTTATGATTTGTGACGCTACTTTGTGTATTTTTGATACTTTGGTATTAGGTCTTGATAACTTATAACTAAATGTTTTAATTCAGATTAAGTTTCTAATTATCTACATATATAAATATTGATTCAATAAAAATTTCTACATTTCCAATTAATTTAAATTCAAAATAAACTTTCTTTGTAATATATAAATATGCTCTATTCCTTGTATTTTAAAGGTTATTAAGGGTCCACCAAAACGAAGAAATTGGGTATAGAATCGAAAATTTTAAAATTAACATTTTTTATTTTTTACCTACTAAATATACATATGTACATGTATACAATATTTTAATATTAAATATAAGTAAAATGGACAATATTTAACACAATATTTTAAAAAGCTTTAATTTAATATTTAATTAAATAAATTCATATTATTAAATATTTTCTTAAATTTTACAGATATTTGAAGAATTGTATTACTGAAGGAATCTTTTATTTTATTTAATATATTAAACAATTAAATAGAATTTGTAAGTATGAAATGTAATTTAATTCTGTAATTGTGTTTTTTCTTTTTTTTAATCTTAGATTATTATTTATAAAATTTCCTGATATTATTGTATACTCTGTATATTCACTGTTGCACATTACATTTACGGTAAAATTTCCAGTAAATAAATTAAATTTACAATATCCAACATTTAACAACATAATTTTCCTAAATAAATTACTTAATTGTAAAGAATATGTATTATTTTTTTTTTAAATTAAAAATTAATAAATGATTGAATATGGTTTTTAAAAACAGAGTTTTGAAAATCTAGTTCTTTATATTATTTTTCAGTATTTTTATATTTAATGAATAAAATGAAAATTATTTGAAATGCTTGAAGAAAATGTTTTTTTTTTGAATTTGTTTGATATTGTTTATTTAATTTTTACTTCCATATTGAATACGTATCACCAAATTTTGATTTTGAAATTCTAAATAGTTGCAAATATTAATTTATAATTTCTTATTGTATTTATACTGTATTCTTTTTTAAACTAACAATTTTTCTTATTATTTTTTTTTCAATTTTTTTTTATGAGGGAAAATTTTAATTGGATTTTATTATTTTTTTATTTCGGTTTTTATTTTCATTTCACTTTTTCTAAGTTTTTCAGATAAAATAAAGAGAAACTATATTAGAAATGTAAACCAAAATTTGTAAAAATAAATACATAGTAGAGTACACATTTAAATATAAGATAATATATTAAGTAATTTCTGAAAGAATAAAAAAAGAAGGATGGCTAAAGATAAGTCGGAAAATGAATTGTCTGATAAATCAAAAGAAACTGAAAATAAATCAAAAAATGAAAAAGAAACTGAAAAACGTTCAAGTGAGACAAAAGATAAAAATATAGAGGAACCTGAGAGCAGTGTAAATATGAATATTAAAAAAAAAGATGGACATGAGAGTAAGAAAGGTGAAAATAGAGAAAAAGAAACCAGTCCTTCATGTCCAGAGCTTCTTGATGAAGTTAATGCTCAAAATGAATTAGAACGTAAAGAAAATGAATGTAATGATATAAGTAAAAAAGACGATGGAAAGGAAAGCGTTGCTGAAAATAATATTGATAAGGCATTAGATGTAAGTGCTAGTATAGAAAACATTGAAAAAACAAATTTAGAAAATATTGTAATTAAAGAAGAATCAAAAAATTTTTTGCGGCTTGTACCCATTGAAAAATTAATTGCCCCTCACACCAAATATGTATCAATTTCGGAAATTAAAACAAATTTTCCCGTAAAGGAATCTTTTAAAGATATTATTATAATAGATAGTGACGAAAGCGATTCTAATCCAATTCGAATTTCAAAGAAATCGTCGATCTCTTTAAAGACTAATGTTTCTACTTCGAATAAAGATAGACATTTGAGAAATGAAAAAAATTTGTCCAAGAAAAATGAGAGAAACAAAAATAAATCGTTAACATGTATTTCAGATGATAGTTCTGAAGATAATGAAAAAAGCGATGATGATAATGTTAATAAGCCAAGGTCTTCTAGGAGAATAGACGATAATAGAAAAACTCAACAAAAAAGTAATAGATCAACAAGAGTCACATCAAGAAGAACTAAAACTGATACAATGCAAAAAATTAAACAAGCTCTTGCAATTGAATCAAATGAAAGTGAGTTTTCGAATTCGGATGATGATACAAACGAAAATACATTAACTGATAGTACAAAAACAAGTAGTAATAAAGCAAAAACTTCTGAGACACATAAAAATAAGAAAAGAAAAGTTCAAGTCTTAGATGATAATAGTAACGAAAGCGATGAACCATTAGCAAGAATAATTGAAAACGAAGTGTCATGCAACAAAAGTAAAACAAGTAATAGTAAGAATAGTGATTTGAACTCAAATGACAAGAATAGTACAAATGACAATTCAAAATTAAAACGGATTGTTGTACGTTTAAAACGTTCTGATTGTTTGACAATCGATAAAAATGAATCTCCAAATAATAACGAAATTAGTACAAGTACAAGTAATTCGAGAAATTTTCGAATACGATTAAAACGATTATCAAAATATCAAATATTAAAGCATAGTGGACTGAAACGTTCAAAAACCGGTAAACCTAGTTCTGCTGTTGATCCAATTCAAGATAATGATAATAATAGATCCGATTCTATTTGTTTAATTGAAAACAATAGCAATGATAATTGTAATATATCTCAAAATAATACTGAAAACAATATTAGTGATAGTTTATCTCTTGAAAAAGAAGACGATTTTTTACGTAATAGTAATATAAATAAAGTCATAGAGAAAAATAAAGATACAAATTTAAATGAAACAGATGAATTAGGTGATGAAAATGAACAAAATAAAACAAAAACAAAAACGAAATCCAAAGAAAATAATTTATCATGTCAAAATAATGAAGTAACAAAAGAAATTTCTAAAAATGAAAAATTATTAAACAAAGAATCAAGAATTTCAAAAGAAATATTAAAAGAAAATAATAGTAAAAATAATAGAGATAAAGATAAAGAAAAATTCGATGAAAGCAAAAATAATAGATCAAAAAATTCTAGACATAATAGTACAGAGAATAATGTTGATGATAGACTTTTACCTACTAAAATTAGAATAAATTTGAACCAGATTAATAATATGTCAAATAATAATGATAAATCATCGTCCGAAGAGGAAGAGAAAGATGATAGCGAAAAGCAAATGGAAAAAGAGAATGAGGAAGAAGGAAAAGAACAGGAGGATTCTAATGTTATTAACGGTTCAATAAAAGATATTAAGCCACAAATAACGGTGGATGAAGTGGCAAGAATTGAAACTTGTCAGAGTTCTTCAGAAATAAATGTGGAAAATTCGGAAAAAAATAAAAAATCTAAACATAAAGAAAAAAATAATAAAACCGATAAAAATGGGAAAGTAAATAAAATAAAAAGAAAAAAATTTGTTGTAGAATCATCTACTGAGGATGAAAAAATAGATGAAGATGCCAATCAAAATAAAAAAGTAAGATATTTACGAAAAATTTTTTTAATTATTGACAAATTTTTGACAAAATATTTTAACTATTTTAAAATAATAAATAAGGCAATTTTTATTATTCAATCTGCCTGAACTCTTGAAAGAACTTTTTTCTACAAAAAAAGAAAATATATTTTTGTTTTTCTTCTTCTGCTTCAAAGAAAAACAATCGTTTTTAATTTATATATTTTATATTTTACAAATATTTGTCAATATTTAAAAAACTAAATTCGTAATTTATATCGTTTAAAAAATTTCAAACAAAAATAAAAAATAAAAATGAAACGTAACGAATTCTAACAAAAACAAAATTTTTTTTCTCTTCCTCTCTGTTGCTGCTGCCTGGAATATCATTCACTAATGTAATTAAAATTGACTAACACAATTATTGCAAATGAATAAAAACTTTGTATTTGGATAAAATGAACTGAATCAAAATATTTAATAATAAGAACGGTGGAAGTCGTAGAAGGTCTCAACAAAATGATGAAAATTCTGTTAATACTGAACGCAGTGATGTTGCAAGAAATTGTGATGAGGAAAATGTAGGAAGACAGGAAAAAAATAAAGAAACTGATACTGAAGAAGCTATTGATGCCAATAAAAATATTTCAATAAAGCCTGAAACTTGTGGTGGTGGAAGTAGTTCTGAAGAAACAAACAAAGTAATAAGAAAAGAATTACTTTAAACTTAAAAAAAAAGGAATAAAAGATTCTCCTTTTCTTTTTTTTATCCTTCTAATTTTCATTTGCTTAAATTTTCGTTTAGTTTTTATTTTTTTATTTTGTTTTAAATTAATTTAACGCAATTAACAAAATATTTATTAAATTTGCAATACTTTTATTCAGTACAAAAAGAAAAAATGATCCAAAATTTTTATTAAAAGGCGAACTTATTTTTTTCAGTCTAAAACCGTTTCAAAAGAATCTCAACAACCTAAAATGTCAACTAGTAGTAGTAGCAGTAGCGAAAGCCAGAATGATTCAGAAATCGAACAAAACGAGCAAAATCAACCCACCGGTAGCACAAGTTCTAGCAGTAGTAGTAGTAGTAGCAGCAGCAGCAGTAGCAGTAGTAGTGAAGCTGAGGAAGAACAAGTAGTTCGAAAAAGAGGACGACGAACGGGTGGTAAAAAAAAAAAAAGTTCTGCTAGTGAACAGGATCTTTCAGAGAAGTTTGTTGAAAGTGAAGATTCCCAAAAGAAAAAAAAGAAGAAGGGTACTAAAAGAAAACGTATCAAAGCTGCAAGTGATTCAAGTGACGATGACGACGATGATGAAGCTAAAAAATTTAAGCGAAAAAATATTCGCAAAATTATAAAAACACAAAGTTTAAACTTTGATACAAAGCGAGCTGCTGAAGAGGAAAAAGAACGTCGCAGAAGGATTGAAGAAAGACAAAAGCTTGTAAGCTAATTATTTTTTTTATTGAATTGTTTTGGAATTAAATTGTATGTATTTTAGTATAATAGTATATATGAAAAACCAGAAACAACTGAAATCACAGAACTGGTATTGGATTTTGATAAAGAAACTAAAAAAGCTCTATTAAAAGTAGATCCAGGATTATTAAAACAACTAAAACCACATCAGGCTAGTGGTGTTAAATTTATGTGGGATGCTTGTTATGAGACATTAGAAACTGCTAAAAAAGAATCTGGTTCGGGATGTATATTAGCACATTGCATGGGTTTAGGGAAAACCCTGCAAATTATCACACTAACGCATACATTAATATCAAATGCAAATAAAACTGGTATTGAACGTGTTCTCATTATAACGCCATTAAGCACACTAACAAATTGGGCACGTGAATTTGAAATTTGGTTAAAATTTTGCAAAAATCGTGATATTGAAGTATATGATATGTCAAAATTCAAAGATAAAAATACACGAACATTTAAATTAAATGAATGGTTTGAAGAAGGTGGTGTTTGTATAATTGGATATGATATGTATCGCATACTTTCAAATGAAAAAGCAAAAGGTTTACGTAAAAAACAAAAGGAAATATTACAGAAAGTTTTAGTTGATCCTGGACCTGACATGGTTGTTTGTGATGAAGGCCATCTATTAAAAAATGAAAAAACAAGCTTAAGCCAGGCTGTTACTAAAATGCACACAAAACGTCGTATTGTGCTAACTGGTACACCATTACAAAATAATTTAAAAGAATATTATTGTATGATACAATTTATAAAACCAAATTTGTTGGGAACATATAAAGAATATTTGAATCGATTTGTGAATCCTATTACAAATGGTCAGTATACGGATTCCACAGAACGTGATATAAGATTGATGAAACATCGCTCACATATTTTACATAAGTTATTAGAGGGATGTATTCAACGACGTGATTACGCAGTATTAGCTCCATATTTGCCGCCAAAACATGAATATGTTGTTTATATAACGTTGTCTGAAATGCAAAAAACTCTTTATGAGTATTATATGACAAAACAAAAATCTCTTGATGTAGAGTCAACTGGTAAAGGCAAACGGCTATTTCAAGATTTTCAAAATTTAAGACGAATATGGACTCATCCAATGTGTTTGAGGGTGAACAGTGATATTGTAATAAAAAAGAAAGTAAGAAGTTATATAGTGTTATAAATACAAAGAGCATTTATTTATTTAATCTGTTTTTATTTTCATATTCTCTTTTCCTAAATAAGATGTTAAAATTTGTAAGTGATGACGAAGGATCTTTGAAAGATTTTATTGATGATAATACCGATTCCGAATCTTCGTCTGGGACTAGTGATGAATCTTTCCATTCGGATAAAAGCATTGAGCCTGCTAAAGTTAAAAGATTTAAAACTAGATCATCAAAAAAGAATGGTAGAGGTAAAAAAGATAAAAAAAAAAAAAAAATTAAAGTGATAATTCATATATCGAAATTCTTAATTTGTAGTGTCAGATAGTGATATTGAAGAAGTTCCTCCTCCGGAACCTAAAGAAGATCCTTCAGAGTGGTGGTGTCAAATGGTTCCAAAAGAAGAATTGAATAATATAAATCACTCTCCAAAATTAATTTTGTTGATGAGTGTTTTATCTCGTTGTGAAGAAATCGGAGATAAAGTGCTATTGTTTTCACAGTCGCTACAATCGCTTGATGTCATTGAAGATTTTCTATCGAAAATTGATAGGAAAACACAAGGTGAAGAAGTTGAAGGTGATACTGGAGATTTTAAAGGATCGTGGAAGTCGGGATTAGATTACTTTCGATTAGATGGAAGTTGTTCTGTTGAAAGTCGTGAATTGATGTGCAAGAGATTCAATGATGTTGCTAATTTGAGAGCTAGATTATTTTTAATATCAACAAGAGCTGGTAGTTTGGGTATTAATTTAGTTGCTGCTAATCGTGTTATTATATTTGATGTTTCGTGGAATCCTTCTCACGATACACAAAGTATATTTAGAGTTTACCGTTTTGGGCAAGATAAACCTTGTTATATTTATCGGTTTATTGCCATGGTAATTTAAAAAAAAAATATTATTGTTATTATTATAGTTTAATTATTATTTTTAACCATAATGTTATTTTTTAGGGGACTATGGAGCAAAAGGTGTATGAACGGCAAGTAATAAAACAGGCTACTGCTAAACGTGTTATTGATGAACAGCAAATAGAAAGACACTACAATCAAAATGATTTACTTGAATTATATACCTATGAATTGGAACAAAAAAATCCTAGAGAGACCCCAATATTTCCAAAAGATCGTCTGTTTGCAGAAATTTTAACAACTTACGATAAATTAGTATATAAATATCATGAACATGATTCATTACTTGAAAATCAAATAAATGATAATTTATCTGAAGAAGAACGTAAAGCTGCATGGGATGAATATGAAATTGAAAAAACTAATCCACCAATGCCAACATATACAAATAATCCAATATATTATAATCGTCAGAATTATACTTTTGGAACTCAACCAATTCAGGGTCCGGTAACATCTAACAAAATATTTGGGTTTAGAACTGATATACTTTTAAGACTACTAAATATGAAAGTTAATCGTGATTTTCCAAATTTAAATCCGGCTGAAATTGTTGAAAAAGTACCATCATATTTACAACAATTATATACCGAAATGAATGCAGGAAATCCAGCAGTAAGTAGAAATTAATGTTATATACAATTAAATTTCAATTATAACATTTTCATTTTAATTATGAAACTATAGATGTACAGGGAACTCTTAGACTTACATCAAGAACTTGAAATGCCTCAAGGATATTATATGAATCCTTTATTATATGCTAATCAAACCCCAATTGCTAATCAACAAATTCAAACGATACAAGTGAACAATGTTAATAATATTGGTACCGGTAGAACATTGGTTCGCAATCCATATGCAAATAGGGTAAAATATAACTTTGTTTATTTTTATAATGTTTATTAATATTTTAATATTCTATGTGTTTATATTTTTTATAGCCTCCTCCAACTATTAATCCAGAAGTAGTTGAAATAGACTAAAAGAAGATTTACAACTTTTACTTTACTAATTATAATCTGTGATTTTTGGTTCAGTTTTTGAAAAAAAAAAAAAATATTAAAAAAAAATTAAAAAAATCATCCTAAAGTAAACTAAATGAACTTAATTTTATGATTTTTATTAAGGAAACAATTTCTATTAGTATATTTATGTTATATTTCATAATATAATTTGAATAAAAAAAAAAAACTATTGTATTTAATTTATTTCTATGTTTTTACAATATTTTCATCATTTTTATAATTAAATTTTTAAGTTACATATCTTTATTTTTTGTTTTATAAAAACTTTAATTTTTAGTAATACATATTAGGAATATTAATGAAGTAAAATTTTAATATTAAATAAATAAATAAATTTACAAAAATATATATCTGAATATTTCTTAAAAAAAAAGAGAAATTACAAAAAAAAAATATTTAGAATTGATAAATAATATTAAAAAAAATTTTAATGGAATATTAATAAATAAATTTAAGTAGGTAAAATAACCTAAATGGAAGTTTTTAGTTATATAAATAATATTATTATGATGCACAAATAAATCAAATAAACCATTCGTATGATTATTATTATTACTCTTTTTCAGAATTTCTTCTCACAGTATTTATTATTTTGCAGTTAAAAGAACTAGAATTAATTTTAATTATAATATTTCCATTAAATTTCAAACTATTTTTAAAAATATGCTTCGGAATGCTTCGGATTATTTTCAATTCCCTTTTTTTTTTACAGATTTAATTTTCAAAAGAAGAGTAAATATTTAAAGCAGTACCTACATTATACTTCTAAAACATAAAAAGAAAAGCAAACAAATGAAAATTTAAAAAATTTTTATTGTTTAATTTTTAAACTTATAATTTACAATATGCCTCATATTTTTAAGTTTCATGACATTTTATAAGTGCTATTGTCTTTTTTCCTTTTTTAGTTAAAATTTTATTTGCCCCATCTCTAAACGTCTTAAAGCATTCCATAATCCCATTCTTGATGCATTTTGTATGCGAAAATGCTGACACGCGTATTTACATCCATCTTGGCAAAGTTCTCGGTTATCACATGTATCAAGAGCTTGATTATGTTTAATATTGTATAAAAATTTACAATATTCCCAGCAAGAAAAACAATCTTCTGATTTCCGGCATTCATAATTTATGTTTTTTGTGTTTTCAAATTGTACCACATACTAAAAATAGAGAAAAATAATGTTTAATAGGCATATGTATATGTGTATGTATATATAAACATAAATTGTTAGTAAATATTGCACATAAGTTTTATAATAAAAGAAAGATCAATTTTTAATTTATTTATGATGCAGAGTAAAATTTGAGTTTGCTAATAATTATACATATATAGATGTATGTACATATGTATATAATAATATTTAATAACATTTAAGTAGCTCAAGTAAAATATAAATTATATTGTATTACTTCATTTAAACAATTTGTTCGGCAACTGGATATTATTTCATTAATTGGGGCAAATAAATTTGGTACTCTTTTATTTTTTCCCATTTCGCTATTAGCACTAATGGAATTAAGAAAACTGATAATTAAAATAAAATTGAATACGGTAGTAAACATTATTTAAATTGAGAATATTTTGATTTTTATAATTTAAAACCCTTACTGGTATCAGTATGAATAAAACTAAAACCAGAATTTTAAAATATTTCATAGGACGTTGAGTAAAAGGTTCAGGTAAAAATACATATTACCTTATATTTAAGTCAATGTTAAATTGTTTTGTTTTGTTTCTCTACAAAAAACAAAAACCTAAGAATTTACACACATGTTTACATAATATGTATATGTTTGTAGCATTGCAATTCAGGTATTATTGTGGCGTATAATGATAACTGTGGTAGATTCGTAGAATTTATATCATATCTGTCTCAGACTTAATTATCCATACAAAAGTACAAAAATAAAAATTACTTTGCTGTTTTTGTAATGAAATTTTCTAAAAAAATAATGTTAAAAAAGAGTGCCTACCAAATTAAAGATTTGACATCAACTTGATTCAATTTTGGTATAATCTACAATATTATTGATTTTGAATATAGTTTGCTTTTTTAGTGGGCGGCCATTGGTCAGTCTATAGGAACAAAATTACATTAGGGAATATTGCAAAAAAAAAATAATGCCCTCAGAAATGAATATAATTTTTTTTTAATAGAAGAACAAAAAATATTTTAATTGAAAACATTAGAACAACGATATATGACTAATTGCTTAATCATACATTATTTTTTTAATTAGTTTTATAATTTTGGTATGGAGTTCGTAAAAATTTGAAACAGTCATAATTACAATAATTTCTTTAATACATATTTATAATTATTTCTTTCGTACATATTTCGATTCTATGCATGTGGTCTCATTATACTTTGAATGAATCTTTTATGTGTAAACTACCTCGACATATTTTGTCATAAAGAATCATATATAAAGTTGGCAGACCTGAATGAAAACATATAAAAATGGTAGCACTGAAGCTTTAGTTTGACTTTGTTGACATTCGTGTCAGATAGAAGAAAGGGAAAATTATTAAAGATTATTTTTTTTTTTTACTTAATTTCTATTTAAAATTATACGTCTTAAAATATATTGGATTTGAAACTAAATAATATTAATAAATTTAAATAAAGAAATGTTTTGGCTTATAAAATATTACTTATTAAAAATTTATTAGGATGTTAAATAAAATTTTGCAGTGACTAGTGTTTGGAAAGAGTACTAATATAAATTACAAATGCTAAGGAAACAAACAGAAAAAGAATAAAATTTTAATGCTAGATATTTTGATAATTTTTAATAGTAAGTTAAAAGTGCTTAAACAGGATGCAGACAATGGATCAATTTTCACATGATTTAACATTGGCTCTAGAAGAAACGAGTAAAGGTGTCCTACGTGGTAGGTGGGGACCAAGAAGAAGAACTCGATCGACAGGAAATCTACGTAAGTAAATCAACCAATAATATTGATAATAAAATTTTTCAAAAAAGTATTTTATACTTTTGATAAGAGTTATAGTTGCCAAATATGCAAATTTGTGGGATAAAATTTTTGTTTTTTTTTATTAGTTTTATATAAATAGGTACATCTTATTAGTACAGGTTTGTTTTTAGTTTTAATGATGTGTTTTCTTATAAAAAGTTATTTTATTGGTCATTGTTGACTTAATATTTAAAATATATTTAAGCGTGTGCTCCGCAACCAACAGAAGATTCTTCAAGTAGTCCCACAGATGCTCAGAATGAAGTTGCGACCAATCAGAATATTGGCGATGGGCTCTTCTCTGTGCACAGCGACTCAGATGATCGTCATGACTTTCGTTCTGCTTTTCCAAAAGCCAGACATGTAAATGGCCTCTTCTAAATATTTGCATATTAAAATTACATTGAATAATTGTTTCTATTTCAGAATTTTGAATCTGATTCTTTAAATGAAAATTTTAGCCCCGCCAGGTTTGTTGGAAATAAAAAAAAAATTTTTTGATCAAATAGTACAACCAATTCATATTTTTTAAATTCAGGTTTTTTCGCCCTAATAAAATGAAAGAAAGAAGAAAACGAAAATTCAAAAGGATGGCTGTTGAATATGAAACAACTCCGTCAACACCTGGCCCAAAAACTGGAAATATATTGTCGGCAGATAATGTAGACACGCAAAATATCAACACACCTTCAAATAATACTAACGTACTGCCATCGTCAGCTAATTTAAGTTCGAACTCTTTTTTCCCAGTAACTGGAGCTGTAAAAAAACGTGTGCTAAAGCATTCTTCAATTGCACAAGAGAATTTCAGAACAAATTTATTCTTTTGTGGTAAACGTAAACGATCTCATAGGGATCACCGTTATCATGATCATCACGATTATTATGGGAAGCAACACTCATCAAGTGTTCCACGTCAAAGTCACATTTTTGCTCCCAAAAATTCATATCCAGAACATAAAGTAAGAACTCGCAGTTTTTCGTCAAATATAAAACCCAACTGCGAGAAAATTTTACCACTTCAAAAGGGTTTAATTACTAAAATAGAAAGAATGTCTGCAGCGCAACAGCAACAACACCCGCAACCAAATTTGAAATCGGATGGATTTAAATTTAAACCAATCATATCAACTTCAACTGCATCAAATATTTGTGCTAATAGTCCTTCATTAATTACGGAATCTCCTAGTATCTTTGAAACAAAAAATACCGCTGATATTATTACGTCATCAACTAATCAACCAACGCCATCCACGTTACCTAAAATTGCATCTCCTTTTAAGGCTGAAATTGGAATATCAACTAAAACAACAGTGCTTAGTCATATTCCGGAAAATATCACCATTAAAAATTCTGAAAATAATTCTGGTACTTTGAAAATAGAAACTTTAACAAGACCAACTATTTTAAATCCGATAACATCACTAAATCCAAAACCGAGTTCAGAATTACAATCTCATAAATCAAAACACAGCTCAGGTGAACGAAGAAGACGTCACAAAAATAATCGTTTGAAACGCGAACAAATTCGTGCTCAATTACAATTCGATGATCCACATTCAATGGAATGTGGTAATGATTTAAATGATTTTGTTAGCTCGAGCTCACTGAGTTCATCTGATTCTGAGGATGGGGAGACAAATGAATCTGATCGTGAGGGTGATGATGAGTTAACTGATTGGCCAGGGAATGAAGTAATGGTGAATTTCGCATCAAAAAATGATTTTAAGAGAAAATCAAATAAAAAACCTTTGCCATTGATAAAATCTTCAGATGATTATGCAGCTGGTGGTGACGATGATACTTTAATGAGTGGTGATGAAGTTTTATCTCCACCGGGCGGTGTTACTGGTACAAGTTTTTCTTCAGGAATACAAATTAAATCGTCAATGTTACAAAGTCAACCTATTGCAATTAATAGTGGAAATGCAATGAATTTTAATACAGCTATAGGAGTAGGAAGTTATGGATTTTATAGTGGGGGCAGCAATAGTTTTGGTTTAAGTGAAAATTTGAGTGAAGGTCAAAACGTTAATTCAAGTAGTTTTATCAATGCTAACGATGGATTGGGTGAAACAACAACTAACTTCAGATTTCCAATTAAACAAATTGAAAGCGAAATGTCAGGTGAAACTTCTAATCCTTTTTTAGCATCACCACCATTTCAATCAAACGAAATTAGAGAAATTCGTGCTGGTTGCAGGAGAATAAGAGAAGAGAGACCTGGATTTGTTGTTAGAACTAGTGTAAATGAACGATTAGCTAGATTTTTACAAGATGCACGACAAATATATATCAGATTACCAGATTTGGAAATACATGAACAAGAATCATTGACAAATTTAGCAAAGTTATACTCATTACAAATGACAAATGATAATGGATGTACTGTTTTAACCAAAACAAGGTAAATAATTTTTTGTTTTGTATAGTTTCAAAAATATTTACAAATATAAATTATTTTAACAGCAATACAACACAATCAGTTAAAATAGATCAGCCTAATTTTAGTCATAGGTTTTTATTTAGTGATTATAAACGTAGATGTTTTGATACAACTAATGTTCATAATTTTGAAGATACAAATGAAAGATTAACAGATTGTATTAATATCGAAAAATGTAAAGATAATTTTGATAATGGTTCACGAAATAATGAAGAAAATATTTTATGTAAAACTTTGGAATGTACAACATCTGCAACACAAAAGCCAGCAAATAGCCAACATATTATAAGTTAGCTATTTAATTTAGATCAAGAGTTATTAAACATTTAATTTTTTTTTTTTGTTCATATTAAGTTAATACAATAAATCAACAATCGTATAATGGATCTAAGTCATTGTACAATATTTTTTATTGTTTTTAATAATATTATTCTTTTTTTTTTAATATTATTATTATTATTTAATTAAAATAATTTAAATTTTAAATTTAGTTTTAATGCAGTTTTTTTTTGTTAATGAAATTCTTTCATTTTTAAACATAATCAGTAGTAGATAATTAATATGTAGTTTGAATTTTCAATACATATTTAATATTTTCATTAATTTAACAAATCATTCATATTTCTTTACAAATATTATTTTAAAAATTATTAATTTTTTTTTTATTTGCTTACCCGCTTCTTTTTTTAACCCAATTAATTTTATATGCCGTTTTTAATATTCTTTTTATAATTTTATATTATACGTATGTATTTAAACTTTTATTAAAATTTACTGAAAATTTATTTTGAAGTTTATTACAAATTTTTTCGAATAAGATTAAAACAAACTTATAACAATATTGTACAAAAAAAAGAATATGTGAAAATTAGTGGTATGCGCATATTTTATCATAAATTTTCTGAAAAGAAATTTAAATTAAAATACAGATTTTATTAAATAGAAAAAAAAAATGTACGATTTTATCTAATTATGAAATTATGAAACTAAATTAGAATTTTGTTTTTCTTTCTTTTTTTTTTATAAATTTATGTTTTTAGATATTTTTTAAAATTATATAATTATTATACACTATATTTTCCATAATTTCATTATTTAGATAAATTTTAATCGTATTTTAAATATAATGAATATATTTTTAATATTTTTGACAACAAAAGTTTATATAATATATAAGAATTGTATTATAAAAGAAAGTTATACATGAAAATATATAGAAAACATAATATTTTGATTATAAGAAAATGTTAAATAATAATATGAATGTGTATTGAAAAAAAAAAAAAAAGAAAAAATTATATGATAGAGAGTTTGAGCGATTTAATGAAAAGATGTTTTTAAGATGCAATAAATATAAGTAATATTATTTGTGAGAAATTTTATTCTTTTTATGATTCTAGATAAATTAAAATTTTTTAAAAATCAGTCGCACTATTAAAATTTCAATAATATGTGAGCATATTGACAATTATAAAGCCGTAACGTAAATAAAATCGTAAACGTAACTTAAGAATTGATGTCTATGAAAACTTACATTATTTAAAGCAGAAATAAAGGCGCAGCATGAATAAAAATACTAAATGTCACGTAACAATATTGATGTTACTAAAAACTTATGTTTATTAATGTTGACATATAAATTGCTGTTATACCACATTAATTATAAAATTCAGCAATTGCACCTTATAAGTTGAATGGCGTGTTTACAGAATATTTCTGAAATTTGGATGTCGGACGGTTTTAAATATAAATTTGGTAAGGAAACTAATATTTATATACATATATATTCAAAATATGAAGTATATGAGGTTCGTTTGCCTATAATGGTACTGGCTTATAAAAAGATTGATTTATAGGTTTTATAATGATACTAGCTTATTAAAAACTCTTTATTTTTTATAATTAATTGAAAAAGCTGAAAATATCAAAATGAACTTTTCATTTTATTTTGATAAAGTGTATTATTATTACACAAGACCGTAACTATAAGAAAAGATAAATAGCAATGAGAAAAATGTCGACTGCACAATATTATCTTCTTGTTTTGAATATTAAATCGAATAATTTGGATAAAAATTTGCAAATATGTATTCATATATATATAGAGAAAAATCAAATCTTGTTAGTGGTTTTTGATAAAATTTTATATAAATAGCAATATTTTTTTAAATTATAACGAAATATCGCTAATATTCTGCAATCTGGAATACGTCTTTTGTTATACAATTGAAAATTTATTTTATTAACTAGGCATTTTTTAGATTTATATTGATTAAATTTTGAACTGAGTAATCGAAAATATTTTTAACGTAAATATTCAACAAAATTTTTCTAATTTAAATATTATAATTAAGTGGAAAGGACAAGTCTGATTTTGATTCCATTAAGAACACATTGAAAACTAAAATAGATTCTTTTTAACCACCTTAAGAATTTGTAAAGAACGATGTTAATATCTATTAATTTTTTCTATTAGAAATTATAAATCAATTAAAAAAATGGTTAAAGAAAAGGACAAAAAAAAAATTAAATATATTAAATTGTTTTCAAAATCATATTTTTTATTTTCAAAATATTTGTATTTTATTGAAGTAGCAGCTTTTACCTAAGTTATATTAGGAAAACAAAAATTAATTTAATTGAGTTTAAAACGAGGTTTTTAATTGCATATTTAAAAATTTTTTATTTCTACATTAATTGTCTCGATTGCTAAAAATTATTCAAATCGTGTTTAAATATTTTAATTTGAGAACAAAAAATAAAATAAAATTTTTATATTATTATAAATAATACTATATTTACAATTTTCATAGTTTTTCTTCTAAATACATAATTAATTTTTATTTGATTTTGGATTACTGAAAAAATGTTTCGAACAATATCCTTAAAAATACAGAAATAAATAATTTAAAATTTCAAAATAAAATTTAAAAATATTTTTTTTTTTTTATATCTTAATTATTATTTTATTTAATTTTTGTTTTTTATTTTTTATTTTAACTTAAATTTAAAATATATTTTAATATACATTTTTAATTCTAATTATTTCTATTTATTGCATAATATGGCAAAAAAAAAATTATGATTTCTTAGTGATATTATTTTCTTAAATATATTTGGTGTTCATTAAAATTTAATTTTGGTCATAAATAATTATGTGTTTAAAAAAAAAAAATATGTTTTATAGCTTAATTCTTAAAATTTATAGTAATTCTTAAATATTTTATATAAAGTAGTATAATTGTTAAATGCGTTTTTTAATCAATTTTTTAATGAAAATTTAAAAATATATTAAAATTGATAAAATTTTTATTTACATTGAATTGAATTTGATTTTAATATTATGAATGATATGTGTGATGCTCACATACTTAGATTTCTTATTAGTTATTATTAAATAATTAACAGTGTAGCTGCCAATCAGATTCAACTTCATTATTATATTTAACAAATAAAATCCACTGAGTTATTAAAAATGATATGATTTTTTTCTTCATTTGAAAATTAAATGCAATTTCCGCGTTTAAATTTAATTTTATATTTTTTAATTTATAAATTAATATAATCTAATTTTAATGAAATTTTGTATACTCTAAAAAAAAAAAGAAAAGATTTAACTACAAATCTATAGAATTAAATTAATTTAAACTATAATTCTTTGAGAATTTTTTTTGGTCAATAATTTATTATATCTACATTTATACTGCAATTATATATGTACGTATAGTATTTGTTTTTAAATATATATTTAAGAAAATAATTATATTAAAATCTCACACTATCATTTTCATAAATTCTATTTTGAAAATTTCTATTTTGAGTTTCTAATGGTATTAGATTTTCATCAGTATTTTGTTTATTATCATTTTTAATTTTATTATCATTATTAGCTTCTTTTATTATTTTATTATTGTTATCTGGAATGTCGTTTAAATTGTTCGTTAGTAATTGCTTTGATGTTTTCTCGTTTGGGGATATTGTTGTCATTTTCATAGAAGTAGGTTCTACCGTCGATGATATTTGGGAGATTGCAGCTGATTCGTCCTCTTCGATTATTACGTCCCCCTCGTCCAATGTGATGCGAATACCTGGACGCTGAATAGCGTGGCGAGGGATATATTGTTGCCGTTGTAATGGGAGGTTTGTAACGATAGCCTGGATTTCTGATTGTGGTTGTTGATATTGTCTTTGTTGGGGTTCTAAAACATTTTCCGTTGATGTTGTTATAATCGGTTTTTGAGGTGGAATTTCCAATTGCGCTGATATTTTTTGTTGCTGTTGTTGTTGTTGCTGTTGAGAAATTTTCGGTTTGTTTATTGGACTGTATATCGGTATCTCGGTTTGATTGTTCGTTGTTAAATTGTTGTTGTTTAATACATTGGATTGGAGAGGGTGATTTATTATCGTATCGGTTAACGGCTGTTGGGAATTGTGTGAAATATTGTTCATATTTTCTATTGTATAATTGTTGTTCTCTGGGGTTCTCGTGTTCATTAACCAATTCAATCTGTTGTTTTGTCGGATATTGGTGTAATGTAGCTGACCAATTTGGTTTGATTCCCCATTTCGATTGGAGAGTATAGAATTTTGTGATTGGAATTGAGTTTGATCCATCTTGTTTGGATTTGTCACAGTTGTATTGTTCAGTGATGTATTGATTGGGTGAATATGATTGTTGTTGTTGTAATGTTGTTGGGACTTTAAATTCGTATGTATAAGTTCCACCGTATTTGATGTTGGGTTTTGTTGATGTTGCTGTAATTGGTTGCTGTGACTGATACTGCTTATACTGTTTGGATCTGCAAGGGAAACCTGTGATACCATTGTACGGCTGTGATTGTCGAATTTGAACCCGATGTCTTTCCATTTCTCTAAAACGAAATTTTTGTCTAAGTGAATCATAATTGCTTTGGTGTGCCATATCATATCAATTGCAACATTTTTATTTTATTTCATTTCAATTAAATTGAATTTGAATTTTCTTTGAAATTAAAATCACATGCATCATTTTTAAAAAGTTGTAAGATTTTGTTAAAATTATTTCAATAATCGCATAATAAAAGCGGCTTGTAAAGGAAAAAGCATGCTTTCTAATAGCTTTTATACATAATACTTATGCGTTATCGTGCAAAATATATTTTAAGTATCTGCAGAGAGAAAAAAAAACTTGATAATATTGGAATTCTTTTAACAAAATGGGAAATTGATTTGAAATCGCAGTACAATTTTACAAAAAAAAAAATTCTTTAAGATCGTGCATTTCATTGTCTAAAAATCCAAATAAGAATTCTAAATAAGAAAAAAAACATAAAATAACATGCTTATAATTAAAGTTCTAAATTTTCAAGCAATTCTGAATAAAATGCACACACATGCGATTTCAATAAATATGTAATTAAAAAACAAAATTTTAATATTAATATTTTTTTTTACCTCCATTACTACTTCCACCATTGAATGGTAACAGTCTTGTTGGTTTACAAGTTAAAACAGTCTTATACGCTTGCCTATATTGTTTATTCATTATTACATAAATAATTGGATTAATGCAAGCTGATAAATATAACATAATATAACCAAATATATGAAAACCTGGCCAATGTACATCACGATCCAAAACTTTAACAATTGTAATTGGTAAATAACATGCAACGAATGATAAAAATATTGCTAAAACCATTTTTGTTATTCTCCATTCATTACGTTTAGCTCGCGCATCACGATGATCTTTTATTCTGAGAGCTTTTTGTTTATTTTCTGTACCAGTACCATTACCGCCACCAGCACCGCCGCTTGTATTTTCAAATGAACTTGATGATACTTGTGAAGCTCTAACTGCAGCTGAACTTGTTCCAGCTCTATTAATTGTTGTACTACTTGGCATTTGTCTCATATTGTTTGGTATTGAATTTTGTTTATGTGCATGTTTTCTCATTCGAACTTCTGATTCATGAACTACCCAAAATATTTTTGCATAACATGCTACAATTATAATACAAGGTGTTACAAATGCAATTGCAAATAAAGCTGTTTTACTGCTTCGACCAAAACGATCTTGTAATATAGAACAAGTTCCAAGTTTTTCATCATAACCAAATTTACCCCATACACTTAATAAAGTTGGTAATTGCATTCCATATGAAAAAACCCAACAAAATACTATCATAGCACCAATCCAATGTCTTTTATAAATTTTTGCATATGATGTATGATGTGCTATCATAATATATCTAAAAATTAAATAAATAATTTAAATTTAAAATAATTATAATTATAAATTTTTTTTAAATTGTTGAATATTTTGTTCTTACCTATTAATTGTAATCATAGCTATACAAAGTAAAGAAACTCCAATATTTCCATATTGTATAAATGGTATAAGTTTACATAAGAAATCTCCATGTGTCCATGTACCCTCTATAAATCTAAATGCATTAAATGGTAATACTGCTGCACAAAAAATACAATCAGCTATGCATAAACTAAAATTAAAAAAAGAAAGATTATAAACTATAATATTATTATAAAATTTAAAAAATACTCACCTAATTATAAATGCCGCAGCAACATTTCTCACTTTAGGGCATTTAAGTAAAGCTACTGTTGTTAAAATATTTCCAAAAATACCTACTATCATAATAATTATTGTGAGTACAGCAGCAAATGTTAGTTGAGAACGTGAAAATCTGAAATTTTTTTTTTTTAAATTTACAATTATTTTAAAAATTGGAAATTGGAAAGTACATATGTGAAATTTAAGGGTTTTGATTTATAATAGGGTAAAAAATTTGTAATATGCTTTAATATTACTGAATGTCTGTTCTATTTGAATAGCCTATAGCTGTTAGCTTAACTATTGTGATCTGCTATTGTGTAACTAATTATAATACGTATACAAAATTCAGGCTTCTGCCTTTTACTGTACATTTTCTTTACATTCTTTCAAATATAACCATGGAAAATATTTAAAAATGCAATTAAAAAAATTATTTTAATTATTTAATTATCAAATAATTATTAAGCGGTAACTCAGTAGGTATTCTGCATATGACTCGTTTCTATTCCTTCTACGTCATACATCTGTTCGCGGTAGTATAAAAAAATTTTGGTATTTCTTTAAATTTGTATAATACTAGTACAAATTTTAAATAAATTATAAAATTTAATCAGACTTAATGCTACATATATACATACAGACAATTGGACATTTTCAAATTTTCATTTATTATTCGTTTGGTATTTGAAAATCAATTTTAAAAATAAAATTCTAAAAATCAAGGTAACGCAATATTTAAAATACACTAATTTTTTCATATATTAGCCATGATTAATAAAATCTGTGTCAGGAAATTAGTTTCCACACCCTATAATTATATTGTAAACTTTTACATAACAATCGTAATAATAAAAATAACAAAAAACTAAATTAAAATAAAAATTCTTAAATTGGAACAAAAATTAAATTTATTTTGCATTATTTATGTAACCTAAAAAATAAAAGGTATGAATTAAATAGAATTGTAAATTTGAGTTCATCTCCAAATCATTGCACAGGTGGTATTTGTTCTACATTTATATACATATACAATATCTAATATAGCCTTTCCCAATATTTTTTAATTAATTTCAATTTAATACTTTAAATTTGATTTGAAATGAAAATATCATACTATTCATGTAATATGTTCGATATGTAGGTCGAACTAGGTCAAATAACAATTCATTTACAATTTTTTTTTTACTACTATCATAGTTAAAATTTCTTATAAAATATGTATGTACTTATTTAATTGTTGGTTTTTTCATAATATTGCCATACATAAACATTTGTTATATACATATTTGCGACCAGAATATAATCTTATGGCCACCTTACGAGTATGAATTTTCTTTATTTGTAACAAGGGAGGTGGTTACTTTAAACGAAAATTACTTGGTTTGAAGTTTTTTTAAAAATTGATGAATAAAAATTTTTTTTCTAACAAAAATGATATAGTCGAATTAAAATATAGAATTTTCTTAAATAGGAATTCTTTCGCTAAATATATTAAAGGTTCTAGTTTTAGAATAATTCTGAAATCTAGTCAGCTAGAATTATTCTAAAACAAATAAAATAATTAGTTTTAGAATAATTCTCAAATCTAGACAAAATCATTCTACAACAAATAAAATAGTTAGTTTTAGAATAATTCTCAAAACTTGACAGTTAGAATTATTCTAAAATTAATTATTTTATTTGTTTTAGAATAATTCTAACTCTATAAAAGTATTAAGTTTAGAATAATTCTAACTGTAGCATGTTCGGAAATTGCACGAGACAATATTAGTACATTATAGATCATTCGGAAATAACTCGCTGTAAGCCCGTTCGAAATGTTATTATTCATTCTGTAATAAAGAAATGTTTGGAATTTAAGAAGCGAAAAAATCCAGTTTAAATTTAAAATTTTTAATTTTTATAACAATATCATTTATGTTATTTTCCAATTTAGACTTTCAGAATTTTGTCAATTTTGTAAACATAACAAAGTTAACACAATTAAATTTTTTTTAGTTTTGGAAATTTTAAAACTATTTTTTGAGGTGTTCCTTTTATAAATATTCTTCAATTAAAATTATGAGAGAGTGACAAGTGCAACAATAAAAATTACTTAAAAAATTCGAAGAAAATATTATTAAATTTTTTACATATAAATAATTAACTATAATACAAGCCTGGGGTAAAGAACAAAAATACATATACATATTATAGATAAATCTTCAATAATATACAAATTTTTTTTTCATTATATTTTTGTTTTTTTTTTATAATTTATCTAATAAAATATAAATAATATGTAAAAAGAAATAGGGGAATGAAATGTGTATAAACAAATCAATTCCGTTTTTTAAAGTGTTTTATTCGTCACCCTATGAATTCGGATACACTCTTTTTTTTTTTAAGTTTTAGTTTTATATTATTATTTCCGGTTTATTTTCAGAACTGACTAAAATGACAAAAACAAAAACAAACTAAATTATTGCTTTTTTGTTTTAAATAATTTTTAGCCATTCATTTTAAATATTTTAGTTTTTATAAAAGAAATATTAAAGCATATAATATAGTATATTTATTTATATTATAATATAGTATAATAATATTTGTAGTGTTATACAAATAGGGGTATAAAATACTATATTGGCTTTAATATAATATATTTTATGCACGTTCATTTTTTTTTTGGTTGTAACCTGTACTCAATATTTACGTAGGTACGAATTTAACGAAAATTTAAAATATTATAAACAAATTGTAAGTTTTCCGCATAATATTTAAATTTACTTAAATGTACATATGTATGTGTACATGTATATGTGGGTATATATGTATATAAATTATTAATATATGTTATATATGAGCGTATTTAATTTTGTTATTCATGAAAATATGGTTTCAATGTCACAATATTTTTGTTATAAATTGCAATTATCCAAAAAAAAATATATTCAGTATTTATGTATGTATAACACATATGTATGTATAACACATATGTATGTGGTTTGTGTATAAACAAAATTTAAATATTGTTGATAGTTTCAAATTTCATTCTAAAAAACACTATATAGAATAATTTTTGTGCGTAGCATCTAAATTCTAAATTTTAAAATTGTATATATAAGGTGTTCCTCTAATTGGTTTGTATGTCTGTATTGTATATCATATGATATTAGAACGCTTTTTGGTAATTGTTTTATAAGAATATTGTGTTTTCAGTTTGTTTGATATGTTTAAAAGACGTACTAGGAAACTGTAATAAAGCAGTTTAGTTAAAAAATTGTGTTTAAGATTTTTGAGATCTTATTGCCCCGTACGTTTGAGGAAATCGAGTTAGACTCTAATTTGAAGAAATTTGTTGTACGAATTTCGGGCATTAGAAGTGCATCAGAATAGTGTTATATTTAGAAAGTTTTTATAAGTGTTCGTATTAGAATACTTTTTGGGTGTTAGAACAGTTCTGATTTGTAATATAAAATTAATAATTTTTTGTAGGCAGAAAAATTTAGGTTCGAATTTCATTTTCGAAGAAAGCTTATTAAACCAGTTTTGTATTGCTATAATTAACGAGTTTTGCTTTTGTGCGAATTGCTTACTTACGATTAGAAAAGGTGTTATTCTACTTTTTTTTTTAGACCTATTTAAAATTAAAGCATGTATTACAAAAAATCCTCTATAAGAAAAAAAAATATCTAATGTCTAAGAAATAAAATAGTTTTAATGATACAGCTTGTAGATTAACAAAATAATCTTTAGATAAAAAAAAAATTAACTTCATACATACCGACTAATTTCATCACCAATATCTACATCTGTTTTAAAAATACTATTAGAGTCATCACCACTATTTGAATCTTTTGAATTTTCTGTAGCTAAAACAAGTTGATTGGCAATTGTTGCCAAAGTAGTAGTTACTATTTGATCCGCCATAATATTATCAAAAAAAAAAAAAATTTTTTTTTCCTGTGTTCTGTAAAATAGAAAATGAAAAAAACATTATTAAATAATAATTTTTTATTGAATATTTTTAATATTTTTGGGCTATATTAAATAATTTTCTAATTTCTAAAATTTTTGCACATTTTACATGCTTATTATATAATATTTGTTTAGCTTAGGTTCCGAGAGAGCAATTTTGACATATTTCAATATTGTTTTAACACTTCTAACGCATATATGTAGCAATTTTGTAGTATTATGGAATTAGTTTAAAAGGGTTCACAGTATGTACATAAATTTGATTTGGGTAATAACATGACATTCGCCATATGTTCCATAATTCCATATTTCAGTTCGTGTTTAATAATTTTATGATTGTGTTCTAATTATGTTTAGGCATTTTATTTCTTACATGGAAAAATGAAATTTAATGCGGAAAAATTTTTGAAAATTAAATAAAAAATTTAATTGCATATTTTGTTGTTACACAATCGCACGAAATCGATTGTCGGCATGACATAAAAAATATGACACATTTGTCTTCTCTTTATGTTATATTTGATTTCAAAGTTGTCTCTTTTGATTCTTTTATGTATATTACTAGTATAACTTGTTATATATACAAATATGAATGGTAAACGAGCTTATTTGGCAAATTCATTGAGCAACCGGTGAAATTCTTAAATTTGCAGGTTGTTTTACATTTTTTAACATGAATTAAAACAGTCAGTTCGATTTATACTTTGATGTCAAATGAAGGACCAACATGTCACATGAAGTCGAGATTTGAGAGCAATAAATTTTGAGAATTAAATTCTTACATGAATAAACATAGTAAAACTATGATTAATTTAATTAGAATTAAAAGCTATATCACAAATTTATGGTATGTTTTTAGTTTTAAGAAAAGATAATCCATAAAATATGCACAAATGCACAAATGCATGTACATAATAGGAAAAAGATATTTCATAATTATTCGAATGTGTAATACTGCTAGAAAAAGAAGAAAAATAAATAATTTTATAATAAATTGGCAATTATTCATTGCATTTCTATTGATAATGCAATTTTAGTTTTTTTTTTTTTTGATAAGAAATTCCAAAAGAATGAATTCATTTGAATTTTACCATTTCCTTTTTAAGTGTTTTTCGAACAGTGATTGGTTTTGGTTGCATTAAAATTAAAAGAAATTCTTAATTTTTGTTTTTTTGGTTGTCTTTTAATAAATTTATGATTAACAATCTAATTCATTGTCTCTTACATAATTAGAAAAATATTTTATATTGATATATTCTTTCAAATTTAATAAAATTTGTGAAGTAAAAAACAATCCATATAGTATGTACACTTAAGTATTTAAGATAGAACCGGAAATTAAAACGGATGATTTTTTTATTTTAATTTGTCGGCTTGTATTTTAAATCTTTTTTATATTGGTTTCGATAATGTAAATTATCAGTTTTGGTGTTAGAATTGTCTATATAATGGTATTTATATTGGTATTGGAGGGACGGCATTGTTTAACTATACATCGAATTTTCTATCGATTTTTTTGAATAACAGATTGAGTTTTGGAACACTCCCTCCTGAATAGTGTGCAATTATTATTAAGCATTGTAGAAATATGGAATTCGCCGCAAATTCAGATTTCATAGTTATAGAATGTACTCATTAATATATAAATTTTTAGTATTTTTGCAATTTAGTTAGAAAAAATTAGATTGAGTTTATAATATGATATAGATTGGTCAAAGTGACAATATAAGATAATTATTATATATAACCAGAAGCGGTATAGTAAAATAATAGGAATGGGTAGCAGTTGGGAATGCTGAAGCGTCTCTTTACGAGATATAGGCGACTCACATAAGGTGGTTGGGATAGGAGGGCGAGGATACTTGTAAGTTCTGTGGTGAAATGTATAAGTTTTGTGGTGAAATGGGCTTTGATGCACCATTTCGTTGAGTGTGGAGTATTGATCAACAAAAGAAGGGAGGCTCTGAATAGTTACATTCTCGCACATTACAATGATTTCGAAAATAATACCTTGCAAATGTCAATCCATAAATAATCGCTTTCAATCATTTTAACCTTCGTAATTTAATGAAAATGTACAGTAATATATAGCTAAAAGTCACCTTAATATAAAAATATTCGATATAAATCTCTCAATATTACTATTTTCTCACTTTGCTTCATTATTTACTCTCTCTCAAAGATATTTTCTCCTACAAATAATCAAAAATTTGAAGGGTTAATTTTTCTTATACATAAATTGTGTATAAACTTCGCTTTAAGTCATTTCGCTTAAAATCGTAAGTTTTCGGCCCCAAAAACAATTTATGTAACGTCCTAATGAAGTCTCTTTATTTAAGTTTTAATTACCTACTTTCAATTTTATTTTGTTCGCATATATGCATCTCATATTTTCAACCACTTTCATATATACATAAAATTTTTATGATTCATTTTAATTTTGTGCATCTCTTAACATTTTTAAGGGCTAATCATAATATTATATGTATATACTCGTATGTATGTAATATTGTTTACAAAAGTAAAAATATCATTAAAATTTTTAACGGGTCATATAAATGAAAATTAAAATTTAAATTGTTATAAATAAAATCAAAAAAAAAAAAAAAAAATAGGGAAAATACACACAATATGTAAACACCTTGCATGTACTTTTGCATTTCACTACAAGAAAAAAAATATGTAAGTAAAATGATTTTTATTGCTTTTTATGGCTAATTTACTTGTGAACATCATACTTTTTGACGTTTGAAGTTCTAATTTTAAAATAGGTTGGAGATTTTCTTTTTATTATACAATTTCCAAAAAAATAGAATTGAGATGTTAAGCGGCAATATAACAAGCAATCTATAGAAGCTGAATAGATTTTAGACCATTATAGTATGATGAATGCAAGCAATAGTTGCAAGGATGCAACTTTGTGTAAAAATTATATATGATGCAAGCATAAAATAGAAATCTAAAGAATATGAAATCATATGATTTATTTGTGTAAACGCGTTAATGTTTATTTTTCCATTTTTTTATTTGAAAATTTTTTTAAATTGGTTTTTCTTTTTTGAAATATTTTAAATTTGTTTATAGTTTTAATAGCGTATTAAAATGAAAAATATTAACAATAAAAGTATACCATAATAGCATACTTTCAATATACTTATAGAGAAGCTGGAAAGTGAAATTGTTATATTTGCATATTTTACTTACAATTTTCTAGATAAGAGCTACCATATCTACTTATAAATTGGATATATAGAGCTTTTCCATATGCTTTAATTATATTTTAGAAAAGTTCGAACCTGAAAGCGGCGTTTGATCTGTCTGAAGGGGTAATATTGAATTTAATTTAAAATATGTAGCTGTATATTAGTGTAAGATATGGGCGAAGATGAGAATATTTTCAAAAACAGCCATTAACGATTTTTTGACAACATCAAAATTTACGTATGACACAAATAACTGGAAAATGAATCTATTCAATCAAGCTCATTATTTGTATAAAAAAACACAACACCATTTTAGAGTTGATAAATTTAGTTAAGACATATAAGACTTTAATTAAGGCATTTAAAATATATAATACGAGTATGTAGTAATTTTTGATAAGACATGATTACGATTATGTTCTTGTGCTTAAATAGGTCGTTTCTGAACCATAGACCCAACATGAGCCGTAAAAGTAACTTTGTGACACATGACAATTAGCGTCTTAAGTTACGTACTTATATAAAAATATAATTTTTTCTTTTTAAAGAAATTTTGACACATGATAGCTTGGTCAGCCGGGTATACTCTGTTCCTGAATATAAATAGAGCTACGTTTTAGTTGTAACGTTATATCTAAGCAGTTTTATAAATTCTAATAAAATATAAGTTTATAATGAATTTGAGAGGTTTGAACTAAAATTTTATAATGATTTATTTATTTAATATCAAAAAAAAAAAAAACAACAACTATAACTAATCCGTATCCGTTCTTATCTCGCATCAAAATATTTTACAAAATGATTTATTTAATTAATTTCTTTGTACTTGTCATATTCATATATGTATAACAAAATCACATAATTTACTTTACATCACAAAAAAAAAATTACAAAAATAATTCTTATCATTAAATTAATTGGAATTATAACATTTAAATATTTTCAAAATTTTGACTTTTAAGTATACTTGAAAACTTCAGAGAAGAAAAATCACTTTGTATATAAAATTTAAATTTAGGTAAATAAAGTATTATTTACCTACATAATTTACATTTATGTGGACGTGTTTACTTAACAAAGGGTTAAATTCATTTTTAAAGACGATATTTGCTTTCTCTTTTTTATTATTCTGTGTTTGATCTTGAATTCTATATTGGAACAAGGTTTGTTAAATAAACTATTTGTATGTGTGCGTGTGTGTGAATATAATGCATTTAATTGATAGTCAGTGAGTGGTTTGTGGGAATTTTTTTAAGCTAAAAATAGATAAGAGTGAGATTTTAAATTTAAATTTTTAAAAATGATCAATCATAAATAAATATTTAAAAAAAATTTGGATATACCCTCGTAATTCCTTAAAACAAACTTTTCAGTGAAGAGACTCAAAGTGAAGTTCACAACTAATCATAGTTATTAGAAAAATCAAGTCTTCAGTTCTTCAGATTTAAATGATGTAAAGTGTGAAAATGATGTATGAAAAATTTTATATAACTTATTTTACTGGGGTTAATTTATGCGAGGCATTCACTGTAATTTTAACATTTTATAAAAGTGATCAAATTTTTACACTTCTAACAAGTGAAATTTTTATTTTAGAGATTAAATTTAAAATTCAAAATTCATTAATGAAATTCTAATTTATTTAAATCGGTTTATTTGTAAAATAATTGAATTTTTTAAGTTTTTTTTTACGGTCAATGTCCGAAAATAATATGTTAATAAATATGTTAAATTTAAAATAATAATTTAATACTTAA